TTGAACATACATGTAATCAATATTGCATGTATAGTGTAACCATTATGATTGAGTATGTAATGGCGGCGAGAAAGCTAAGGACGGGATTCACATTATACCAATAATGAGATTGATCGACTTCTGATAAATACCACCGATAAGGTAACTAAAGATTTGAATGTAGTTGCGGTGTGCATTTACAATACTGGGGGCGCAACATCTAATCACAACAAAAGGCAACATCAGGGACGGGCTGTGCGCCAATTGCGTTACAACATGTTGACAGACAAATCAAGGCTTTGCTTCCGATTCACAGAATGGACATTTGACTGGCCAGCGATATGTTGAGGAAATTGTGCGTTCAGTAGCTGTTACATTCGCTAGCCTTTTCGGCTGAAATTTTGAATTGCAAGATGACAATGAGAGATAACATCGTGCCCTGGCCGTCACCGATTAACTCCAACGAGAAGACATACGGACATTGGACTGATTAACTCTAACGAGAAGACATACGGACATTGGACTGATTAACTCCAACGAGAAGACATACGGACATTGGACTGATTAACTCCAACGAGAAGACATACGGACATTTGACGTTTAACTCCAACGAGAAGACATACGGACATGGGACTGATTAACTCTAACGAGAAGGCATACGGACATTTGACGTTTAACTCTAACGAGAAGACATACGGACATTGGACTGATTAACTCTAACGAGAAGACTTACGGACATTGGACTGATTAACTCCAACGAGAAGACGTACGGACATTTGACGTTTAACTCCAACGAGAAGACATACGGACATTGGACTGATTAACTCTAACGAGAAGACATACGGACATTGGACTGATTAACTCTAACGAGGAGGCATACGGACATTGGACTGATTAACTCTAACGAGAAGACATACGGACATTTGACGTTTAACTCCAACGAGAAGACATACGGACATTGGACTGATTAACTCTAACGAGAAGACATACGGACATTTGACGTTTAACTCCAACGAGAAGACATACGGACATTGGACTGATTAACTCTAACGAGAAGACATACGGACATTGGACTGTTATGTTAATATCCATACGCTGACCCTCCTATTCCCCAAACTGAGCGTCCATTCGTTTCGACAAAATATGTTCTCACGAACAGGTCATGACAACGACGATTTCCCTATATGCGAGAAGGTTTGACATACACTGAAAGGCAAAAGAAACGTCATGTGGATGTTTCATATAAATATCTTTATTTTCAAATGCTTATATATGTAAGTAAAGACATCGGAGAAAGCCAGTGTTTGACCCACATGAAATTAACAGTCTGGGGAATGTTTTTGCGAATTATGAATTGGGGGAGGCACCAGAAGACATCACAGCTGGGGGGTTCAAAATCAGTACCTGGTGTGGCCACCACGGGCGTTGACTACAGCCGCACATCTCCTGTACATGGAGTGGACTAGCCTGTTGATGAAGGCCATTGGGATATGGGCCCATATCCTCAGTAACGCTACACGCAGTTCTGCTGCAGTTGTCGGTCTTGGGCGTACGTCGTGGAGTCGGCATTGGATCTCATCCCACAAGTGTTCAATGGGATTCAAATCCGGACTGAGGGGAAACCAAGGCATGATTTGGATGTTGTGCTGCTGGAGGAAGTCCCTGGTGACCCTGGCAGTGTGGGGACGGGCGTTGCTTTGCTGAAAGGTGTGGTTTTGATGGCGGGCCAAAAAAAAGGCACGATATGGGGTCTGAGGACTTGGTCAATGTAGCGGAGAGCTGTGATGCCATTACCCCTGCCTGGACCAATATTCTGAAAGACCACAGGTCCCACTCTCTGGTTCAGTCCGATTCCACCCAAAACCATGATGCTTGGGCCGCCCCACGGGTCTCGTTCCATAACACAAGCATCAGCATAACGTTCGCCCCTCCTTCGCCGGACCCTGACTCTGCCATCCAACGTTGAAACACAGTAGCGACTTTTATCAGTGAAGATGATTCTTCTCCATTGCCGTTGACGCCAATTTTGATGCTGCCTGGCCCATTGCAGTCGGGCCTGTCGGTGACGATCTCCCAGGATGGGTACACGAGCAGGACGGTGGCACGAGATGCTGTTGGCAGTCAGGCGACGTCGGGCTGTACGATCACTGATGGCACGCTAGGGGTTGCCAATGGTTTGCCGAGCTGTTTCAGTGGCCATTCGGAATCGGTTCTGCAGATGTTGACGTATCATGAACCGATCTTGTCTGGGAGTTATGACTTTAGGACGACCACTACGCGGTCGGTTGTCGGTGGTGTTGGTGGAGTTGTGTCGATGATGCAAACGATATATCGTTCTGACGTTTGACATTGAATGCATTTGCAACGACCTGTGCACTCTGGCCTGCTTGCAGTCTTCCGATCGCTTGTTGTCTCTCATTTCCTGATAATGTTGGCATGGCTGATGAATCGAAATAACGAAAGCCAGCTTAACAGTTTTGGGTGTCTTTTATACCCATACCATCCACGATATGCACGTGCACCATGTTTTTGACAAGACTTTTCCTCGACTGAATCCCATTGCACTATTGTAGGCTGCGTTTGGGCAAAGCACTCCATTTTAAACTCAATTGTGAAAAGGACTTTAAGGCAACACAATGAAGCAGTAGAACGATAAATGAGTTTATTGACCACAGAACATGTAACTGCCAGTGTCTCTTAAGTTTTATCAGTATTTCAGAAGTGACGTTTCTTTTGCCTTTCAGTGTATTTATAAGGAAATAGATTTCATCTTTGTCAATACGCCTCCGTACAGATCTAAAACAGGTTACAAAATGATGCGCTTTAATGCCAGGGGATGAGAATTAATTGATACATTCAAAAAACATGTATTTATTCCATTATAATGCCTTTGTTATGAAAAGAAATTCAGGAATTTTATATCTTTTACATTGTTTGTAAATTTGTGTAAATACGGAGAACATTTAGCAATATATGCAATGTTTGGAAATTGAAAGCCCATATTATGCATTTAATTTAAACGTTTCAAAGAAAAGTAAATACATTCATGGCGATGTCTTTGTATATTTGGTTTCCATTTTAGAGATGACTCTTTTAACTGTGCATTAGATTGATTTATCCGATAAACAGTGTTTTCAATGTAGAGCGGTTACTTGTACATTTAACAGCGCTTAATAGAATTTGGAACCGAGAGCTTTTATTTCATTGTGTGGGGGTCTGATATTGTCTGTGTCTGCAGTTATATTGTGGTATGAATGATACCTTATACTCTGCATCTGGAATATTTCTATTACATTCAACCACGGTTACAACGAACCCAAAGGGACCAATATGTTTTGTTCGTTATAACCGGAGTTCGTTATAAGCGTTTCAACTAAAGCATACCGCAAATGGCCGGAACCAAAAACAACAGTTTGTTATATCCGTCACTTCGTTAATAGGCGTGTTCGTTTTATACGTAGTTTACTGTACATGCAAATTAGATTAAAGTCTGTACCTGGAGTTATTACATTGTATGCATGCTATTTTATAGCCAATGTCTGAAGTTAATCCTTGGTATGCATGGTACCCTACAGTCTGTATTTGGAGTTATTTCATAGTATACATGGTACCTTAGAGCCAGCATATGCAGATATAGTCTGTATCTGCAATTATTCCACTGTATACATGATACCTTGTTGTGAGTATCTGGAGATATTCCATTGCATGCAAGATACCTTATCGTCGGTGTCAGCTATTATTCACCTGTATACATAAGACCCTATAGTCTATATCTGCATTTGCTCCACTGTATGAAATGGAAGTTGTGGTCTTTATCTGCAGGTATGAACACACAATGCCATTTAGAAAGTGGTCAAATGTAACAAATGTTATATTTGGGATAACACTTTCTTGGTAAAGTACACATTCTAGTCCTTTTGGGGGTTGAGTCCCATATGGGATTCGAAACCAGAGTGCCAGAGTGAGGTACCTAATCGCCAGGACACAAAGTCAGCGATCTAACCCACTCAGCACCGAGGCTGCCACAAAAATAAAAGTACGACAACTGGTAGTCTAGATCGCGTACTTTGTGTACCCCTCTGACAATTGTAATTGGCACGCCTCCCATGTCCGAAAACTATGAATACACAATGCCATTTAGAAAGTGGTCAAATGTAACAAATGTTACATTTGGGATATAAAAGCGATTAGGTGCCTCACTCTGACATTATGGGTTCGAATCCGAGACGGGACTCAATCCTAGAAAAAGTACGAGAATCTGTACTTTACAAAGAAAGTGTTATCCCAAACATAACATGTGTTACATTTGTCTGTGTTTATTCCTTTTTATGAATGATGCCTATATATTCTGCAATAATCCCACTGTATACATGGTACCTTCTAGTCTGCGTCTGCAGGTATATCTGTGTCTGCAATTATTCCAGTTTCTGCATGATACCCTATAGTGTGTATTTGCAGCTATTCAGGCCCGCCGTATGCATTGTACTTTATAGCATGTGTCTGCATGTTTTCCATTATATGCATGATCCATATAGTTTGTATATACAGATAAGGTTTGCATGGTAGGAAGGGAGTGCTTTGTGTAACATGATGGTAGGAAAGGAGTGCTTAGTTTAACATGATGGTAGGAAGGGGCCGCTTAGTTTAACATGATGGTAGGAAGGGAGTGCTTAGTGAAACGTGATGGTAGGAAGGGAGTGCTTAGTTTAACATGATGGTAGGTAGGGAGTGCTTAGTGTAACATGATGATAGGAAGGGAGTGCTTAGTTTAACATGATGGTAGGAAGGGGGTGCTTAGTGTAACGGGATCGTAGGAAGGGGGTGCTTAGTGCAGCGTGGTACATGGTGGAAGGAAGAATGTGTATCACTGTACTTTGTAAGAGGAAATGTGTTTTTTGTAGCAGTAGCTTAAAAAATATCTTATATCGATACACAATCCCTACCCCCTACAGCCTGAATATACCAAATTAACGGCCCCTAGGCCTAAGCTGATGATTGATTTCAATAAAAGAATTCATAGCTGTGTGTAATTGTTTAATGACATTGTATTGTTACAAAGCCTGAAAAAGCACAGGGGAGGTTATCGTGTTGTTTTCGTGAGGTATCCTATTTTGCACTGAGCCTCGTCTTGTCGTAATCCTTATCCCCGGGACACACCGAATGAGTCTTGCAGCAGAGGGGGTAGACATCGGTCGCATGGGGGGTGTCAGTGTAGCAGCCGGTGGGGACGTTCACAACGCCGCAGCTGAGACGACGTAAGGCAACAGTCAACGCTAAATATGCTCTCCGGTTTTCGTGCAAGTTTACGTTGTCCAAAAACATACAACCTGATTATTTCTAGCTGAAGCAAGAATGTACAATGTCAAATCAAGAATGAAATATCTACTACAACCCATGTCAGATTATTATTATTTGAGGAGACAATGTTAATATCATCTTCCCGAGGTAAGGGAGTTAACTGACTGTGAAAGTCCAGTTTCCAACCTTGCCGAACTAGGCTGGAATTTCTGGGTTCGATCGTCGCGCCACCAGTGGCTATTACGAATTATGCCCAATCCATGTGCCTCCTATTGACCAATCAGATTCCACCTCTCATATCACTTGCATTTGCTTCAACCAAAATGGCGGCGCCCAGTCAAGACGATTTGAACGATAATCAAAATCTATATTGTGAATTAACGGGTCTTACTTCGCGAAGTGCAACAGATCACGTGACCAACTTGATTATATACATGTTAAGATTTGGACAACATCTGTTGACGCCGATTTGGCGGTCCACATGCTTTGCAAATCCTGCAATCGACTGAAATCTGCACGGCAGTTTACGAACCGGAAGTCGATTTCGCTACTCGATTTTGATTGGACTATGGAAAGTCTCGTTAGTCCAGCCAAAATATAACTCCATACTTCCAACTTACTTCTGCAAGGGTGGAAACTGGTCTTTTATAGTCAGTTAACGCCCTTGCACCAAGAAGATGTTTTAATATCGTTTGGGTTCGACTCTTGTGTTCCAATCAAGGAGTATAGTACATGGTGTGAGATCTCAATACACGGTAGATAGTTCCACAACGTTACGACACACCAGTGTAGACTTTCCTTCTACATAGATCTGACAACAGAAATGCTGTCAGATGGTAAACTCTGGTTGTGCAACAGAGTAAGTGATGACCTTCCCCCTGGTAGACGGTCTAAACTGAAGTAACACTGCTGTACCTGTCTCATGTCTTGTACGGTGTAGGAACTGTGGGTTTAATGAGTGGCTGGGAAAGGACGTACCCGTAACAGGCGTATGCTCCTGGATGGCAATCGCATCTGCAACATGGATCATCATCATCATCATCATCATCATCATAATCATCATCGTCGTCGTCATTATGATTATTGTCCACCAAGAACTTTTCGGAGAATGTGAATGGTGAATATCATACCAAACCTAAGGGACCTAGAACAATGGGGAGTCGGACAACTTGGTACTTGGGATGCAAGCGTGACATTTCGAAAGCGAGGTCCGCACATTTGCTATGTTTTTCCTCAATCTTGTCAATCACATTAGTCTCAAATGGGACAGAAAATTCAATGATATAAAGGATTTCATTGGATTTATCAAAAAGGACAAGATCAGGTTTGTTGGCCTGATTACGTCTAAGGCTGTAAATGGGCCTATTCCAAAGAATTTTTTTATTGATCATTTTCAAGGACACCTAGCTTCTAGCCCCTCCCACCTCCCCACCCCACACTACCCGACACTGTCACAAGACCTCTATATAGGCCCAGCTCTAAAATCACGACACTATCACAAGTAAATCCTTTTACTCCTACGTATATTATCAGCTGCAAATTCTTGACACTGTCAACAGTACCTCCTTACCCTTATTTATATAGACCCGACTGATGGCCCTCCTCCCCCTACCACTCCCAACCTCGCCAGACACTGTCACACGTACACCCTTACCCGCCTTTGTATAGACCCTGCTGCCAGCCCCAATTCCCATACAACCACCCCACCCCCCTTCTCCACCCTCCCCACCCACACACACCAACCGAAGCTGTCACAAGTACGCCCTTAACCGCCTCTGTATAGACCCTGCTGCCAGCCCCATACCCCAAACAACCCCGTACCCCCTTCTCCCCTGCCCACACACACCACCCGAAGCTGTCACACGTACATCCTTACCCGCCTCTGTATAGACCCTGCTGCCAGCCCCAACCCCCATACAACCCCGCACCCCCTTCTCCCCTGCCCACACACACCACCCGAAGCTGTCACACGTACATCCTTACCCACCTCTGTATAGATTCTGCTGCCAGCCCCAACCCCATACAACCCCGCAACCCCTTCTTCCCCCCCCCCCCCACACCACCCGAAGCTGTCACACATACGCCCTGACCCTCCTTTGTATAGACCCTGCTGCCAGCCACCCCCCCCCCCCCCCATACAACCACCCCCTCCCCCCAACCCCCACACACACCACCCGACACTGTCACACGTACATCCTTGCCCTCCTTTGAAAAGCCCTTGTTGCCAGCCCCAACCCCCCTACAACCACCCCCTCCCCCCACACACCACACACACCCAACCCGACACTGTCACACGTACATCCTTACCCTCCATCACATAGGCACTGCCGCTAAGCCCCCTCCCCCCCAACGCCACTAAACACTGTCGCACATATATCGTTACCCTCGTTCATATGTGCACTACAGATAGCCCCCAGAATAAAACACACACACACACACGCATGCACACACACGCACGCGAGCGCGCACACAGGCGCACACACACACGCACGCACACACCACCACCACCCGACACTGCCACACGTAAATCCTTACCCTCCTTCATATAGGCCCAGCCACTAGACCTCCTTATACATATGGCGGACAGGAGACACACGAGCGCCCAGCCAACCGCTGCCATCACAACTCAACATTTACACAGTAAGACCTGAGATTGTCTCGCCACCGTGGTGTAATTCCTAAATACACCTCACTCCGACCTTAAGATAAGATAACATAAATATAGTAAGAAAGGTCAAGAGTTTTGTCGTTAGACAGTTCTTCAAGTTTGTTCCAAGACCATGTGTTTAGTTCTCGCGTGGATGTTAATATCAAGTCATTGTCTCTCGGGAGCAGTAATCTTTAATGTTCCGAATGCATTTTTCGTCGTCATTTATCATATCCAGATCGTGCGTTTAATCATACGAACACATTAATGCCGCACCCAGGTGTTTTATTGTTTTCTTCACGTTATTTAACGAGAAGGCTAGAAGATGAATCGTTATTTGAAATTGTTAAGATTTAACCCCTGTCGCTACTGTTTGTAATCTTAATGTCATGTACCATCGTCCTCTATGTTTGAATGCGATGTCTCTGAGATAAAAATGGTAAATTGTTGTCGTTGATTGAGGGTGATATGGGATTTTACGACCGTTTCACAAACTAAGGAAATTAATACGTTGTAACGTTACGACCTCCCGAAACAAATCAATTTCTCTTTTTTATCACTACTGCTTCTCCTATGGACTGACATTAGTCCAAGAAATAAGTCCCAGAAGTTATCGTATTTAACGATATATATTTACAAAATATAAAGTAAATATAATCCAAATTGAGCCCACAACAATCCTTAATTTCGGCCATGAGTTGAGGCAATCTAGACTTGCCAAATCATTCTTGACTTGTTTGGACTCCTTTTTTATTTTTTTTCTCTTAGGTCTGGGAGACAGACTACTACTACTACTACTACTACTACTACTACTGCTGCTGCTGCTGCTGCTGCTACTGCTGCTACTGCTGCTACTACTGCTGCTACTGCTACTACTGCTACTACTGCTGCTACTGCTACCACTACTACTTCTACGAAAACGCCCGTGAAGACTGAAGATTCCGGGTTAGAATTGGTCTTCAAACCTGTCGTAAGAGGCGACTAACGGGATCGGGTGACTTGGCTGATCAGAGTGGTACGAATCTCCTGAATCCAATCACAAGATTGTCTGGTCCAGATTATTTACAGACCGCGGTCTATCATTTTCCTACGTATATACATGTATTGGGACAACATAATATTGGCTCACATTAGTATATTTATATATGTACCTATATAGCGAATGTATAGTGTATACATTAAGAGTGAGTGAGTGAGTATGGTTTAACATCGCTTTTAACAATATTCCAGCAATATCACGGCGGGGACACCAGAAATGGGCCTTCCATGTGGGGAATCGAACCCGGATCTTCGGCGTCTCGAGACAACGCTTTAACCACTTGGCTACCCTTCCGCCCCATATATAATACGAATTGCGACGACGTTCATAAAATGTTTGACCCTCACTCTGTGGTCCATGTGCCAAGGAATCCGCACAAAGTGAATGACAATTCCTGTAATTGTTATTATCACTGTCGAGGGCACGGTCGTCTAAGGCGCCGCGATTTGCTGTGCAGAGTTGGGCAAGCCAGAAACCTATGATTGTGGGTTCGAATCCCGGTTCGCCCCGATTATGTTTCTAGGTTTGTCAGCACTATACCCGTGCTCGTGGGTTTCACCGAAGTGGTAAACGTCTGAGACCTGCATCACTTCGGGCTTTCCTCCCACATTAAGCTGACACGCCGTGATATAACCGGAATACTGTTAAAAGCGGCGTTAAACCCAACTCACTCACTCACTAGTATCAGTGTTTTATACCTCGAAGTATGTACAGATAATTTCATTTAGACTGTAACTTCATGTTTCCACTGACAGCCATACAACAACCAGACAGCAATATAGCAACAATTTAGTTCCTCAAAAGGAGAAGAGTGAATACGTATTTATGCTCAAATACTTTCAAATAATATTATTAGATGCTCAAATTATTTTGTAAAATATATCATTAAATGAGAATACAATTAGATTATCAACTTAATTCACATAATATAATTAAAAGAGCATATCATTCGATGCTCAAATTAAATCAAATATCATCTGTTAATAACTGCTTAGTACGTCAGTCACTATGGCAACGCGTCGAAATACATTTACACACACGCAGTACGCCAAAGTGATCAACGTGACGGGGGGGGGGGGGGGGGGGGGGAGAGAGAGCATTTCGAAATCGTTTTGAACCTGCGGCGAATAAAACTATTGGTCATCGTTGATCAATTTCCCGACCATTTACAGATGATCTTAAATGTGTGTCGTCAAATACATACTGAAGTATATTCGTAATTGCTGTAGACTGTCACCCTCAGTTTAGACAAGGATCGAATTCATAGTTCGGGCGTGCCTTTCTTCGTTTTGTTCACTAGGGTGGAGCGTAGCGAGGTTAACGTGTCAAGCAATCAAACTCTCTGAATATTCCCAGTGTATGATAAAGCGCTGAGTTAAATATAGTCTGTCTTACAGACCCTCATAAAAATATATATCAAATACCGCCCATGCAAGTCTATAATGTTTGGCACCCTAGATCACTGCAGTATCAGGAGAAAATGAAGAGAGTCACTGGGCTCCTTTTTATTATATTTTTATTAAGATAACTGAACGACTGGTTTTTCTGTACGATATGTTCATTCCAGAGACTAGATGTTAGTCTAAGTTAAATACTGAAGGTCTAAATGATCAGAAACAACGCGTCGGTATTTATTCGAGTTGGGAAATTCACAGGAGTCTCAGGAATGTGGAAGTAGTCCGTCAGTGTTTCATCATTTCAAGAATTCATTGTTGTGAAAACGTATGAACGTCAAAATGTGTCGTCACTTTCGCGGTTATGTGATCGGTGTCTCGTCCAATGTAAAACGTGAATATCGTGTAAACGGCACATATTATTCAATTCTTTATTCATGTAAATGTGTAGGCCAGCGGCCCATGGTACAATATTTGGTCCATCATTAACATTTATAGGCTTAGAGTTTGGAGTCTAACATTCATAGCATGGTATATAAAAGTGGCAACATTTCTAATAACAGTTTCTTTGTTTACCGCCATTAGCATATTGAATTTAGCAAGAGTAGGATGTACAAAATACTTCTGTGGTAAATACTGAAGACGAAGCACATATTATTATAAACGCTACTAATTACTGTTACTTGTAAAGTGCAATGTCATACAAAGCATTAAATGATATATTCGTAACACATTATTCTTATAATGTAATTGCTATTTTTTAACAATATTTTCAGACAGTACAGTCAGAGCTACATGTAGATGATTAAGTGACAATGATATACAGTACAGTGACACGACATGGGACAGTAAAGCTTCGGATTAGTCAGCTGACAACGGCAGTTATGGTTTATAAGAATGAGGGGCAATACATTGAATGATGACATACACGGGGAAGTCCACAATGAAATATTCGAGAGCAGTATTAGAACATTCGACACACCCACAGTTAATAGATAACGCTGTGTTAGTGTCCTCTCGCGATCATATATACTAGTATACATGAGTGAGTACGGTTTAACGCCGCTTTTAGCAATATTCCAGCAATATCACGGCGGCGGACACCAGAAATGGGATTAACACATTATACCCATGTGGGGAATCGAACCCGGGCCTTCTGTGTGACGAGCGAAGGCTTTAACCACTAGACCGTCCCAAGCCCCTAATATACACACGTATATTTACAGCTAGCGTTGTCTGTTTGTATTCTCCACCATACCCAAAGCGTCTTGGCTGTGTGTGTCTGTGTGTGTGGTCGTGTCGTTCCGCCGTCACGCCTGCTGTCTGTCGTGCCGATCACGTCGTCGGTTGTTCCTGTACACACACTGCAGCTACTTAGTGGTCTGTTCTGGAAAGCAAACGTTCGGAAATAGCTAGGATGTTTGAAACAATGTCCACCATGCTTCCGCGTTGCATTACGAGACAGCCAGGTGTGTGGATCAGGTCGCGGTGGATGTATTGATACAGAGCTGTCGGAGGCGGAGGCTGGTCGTATTGGGGATACACTGTACGTCACTGTTCTACACAGCCTATGATGGCTATATGCATGGAGTAACAACCCCCATCTGTTAGGGGGACAAGTTTGTTTGTATGTTTGTTTGTTGTTTAACGCCACACTCAGCAATATTCCAGCTACATGACGGCGGTCTGTAAATAATCCAGTCTGGACCAGAAAATCCAGTGATTAATATCATGAGCATCGATCCACGCAATTGGGATCGATGACATGGATCAACCAAGTCAGCGAGTCTGACCACCCGATCCCGTTAGTCGCCTCTTACGACAAGCATAGTCACCTCTTACAGCAAGCATGTGTTGCTGAAGACCTATTCTACCCCGGATCTTCAAGGACCAGGTGGACAAGTAAAAGTGTGGAGTAACTTTGTGGATATGAGAGCACGAACACTTCCTAAAATACATCACGTGGCGTTGTGAGTGTACAAACGCGATGTGAGCGAGTAAGTAAAACTCACCGCCAAAAGAAACATGGACCAAAGCAACATATAGTTTGAGCACATGTAGAGTTACATACTCGATGTGTGAGTGAGCGAGAGTATGAACACTTTCTTAAATACATTACATGACGTCGTGAGTGTACATCTAGATGTGTGAGTGAGTGAATGAGAGTATGAACACTTCCTTAAATACATTACATGACGTCGTGAGTGCACATTCTCAATGTGTGAGTGAGTGAGTGAGTGAGAATATGAACATTTCCTTGAATACATTACATGACGCGAGTGTACATTCTCAATGTGTGAGTGAGTGAGTGAGTGAGTGAGTGAGAATATGAATATTTCCTTGAATAGATTACATGACGCGAGTGTACATTCTCAATGTGTGAGTGAGTGAGTGAGTGAGTGAGTGAGAATATGAACATTTCCTTGAATATATTACATGACGTGAGTGTACATTCTCAATGTGTGAGTGAGTGAGTGAGTGAGAGTATTAATATTTCCTTGAATAGATAACATGACGCGAGTGTACATTCTCAATGTGTGAGTGAGTGAGTGAGACTATGAACATTTTCTTGAATACTTTACATGACGCGAGTGTACATTCTCAATGTGTGAGTGAGTGAGTGAGTGACAGTATGAATATTTCCTTGAATAAATTACATGACGCGAATGTACATTCTCAATGCGTGAGTGAGTGAGTGAGAACATGAACATTTCCTTGAATACATTACATGACGTGAGTGTACATTCTCAATGTGTGAGTGAGTGAGTGAGTGAGTGAGTGAGTGAGAGTATTAATATTTCCTTTAATACATTACATGACGCGAGTGTACATTCTCAATGTGTGAGTGAGTGAGTGAGTGAGTGGGAATATGAATATTTCCTTGAATACATAACATGACGCGAGTGTACATTCTCAAGGTGTGAGTGAGTGAGTGAGTGAGTGAGTGAAAGTATGAACATTTACTTGAATACATAACATGACGCGAGTGTACATTCTCAAGGTGTGAGTTAGTGTGTGATTGAGTGAGTGAGAGTATGAACATTTCCTTGAATACATAACATCACGCGAGCATACATTCTCAATGTGTGAGTGAGTGAGTGAGTGAGAGTATGAACATTTCCTTGAATACATTACATGACGCGAGTGTAAATTCTCAATGTGTGAATGAGAGCATGAACATTTCCTTGAATACATTACATGACGTCGTGAGTGTACATTCTCAATGTGTGAGTGAGTGAGTGAGTGAGAGTATGAACGTTTCCTTGAACACATTATATGATGCGAGTGTACATTCTCAATGTGTGAGTGAGTGAGTGAGTGAGTGAGAGTATGAACATTTCCTTGAATACATAATGATTACATAACGTCGTGAGTGTACATTCTCAATGTGTGAGTTAGTGTGTGATTGAGTGAGTGAGAGTATGAACATTTCCTTGAATACATTACATCACGCGAGTGTACATTCTCAATGTGTGAGTGAGTGAGTGAGAGTATGAACATTTCCCTGAATACATTACATGACGTCGTGAGTGTACATTCTCAATGTGTGGGTGAGTGAGTGAGAGTATGAACACTTCCTTAAATACATTACAAGTCGTGAGTGTACATTCTCAATTTGTGAGTGAGTGAGTGAGAGTATGAACTCTCCCTTAAATACATTACATGAATTTGTGTGTGTACATGTTCGGTGTGAGTGAGTGAGTGAGAGAGAGAATGAACACTTTCTTAAATACATTACATGAATTTGTGTGTGTACATACTCAGTGAGTGAGTGAGTGAGTGAGTTAGTGAGTGAGTGAGTAAGTGAGTGAGGGCATGAACATTCCATAAATACATTACATGTCGGTGTGAGAGTACATTCTCAAAGCGTGAGTGAGTGAAAGCTGTATCTATATATCTACTAGTACACAGTATTAACAAAATCACGACACATGAAACAAAAAACAAACAGACACTGAGACGCGATGACCAGCAGATGTCGAAAGGATGATACACCAGCAGCGACAACAGCGTCTGACAGCAGGGCGACATCGTGAACCCCGCGACGACATCGCAACGTGACCTTTGATGATTTGAGCCCGGACATCGAGGAGTACAGCAGGGTCTCATGACGACATGGCGCTCGGTGAGAGTAGGTCACGTGGCCCGAACACGACCACCATACGAAGACTATTCGTGTTGAAATACTATAACTCCTGTTTCGGTGCCAATGAGTGCCTGCAAGAATCCTGATATCATGAAGAGGAGGAAAATGGCGTGTACCCTCGTGTTTGTGACCCTGCTGGCAGTGCTGCAAGGTCAGTGTGTTGCAATCCGTGTCAAATCTTTGTACTTTATTCTCGATAATCTTTATTTTATTCCTTTTCTCCCATCGCGTTAATGTTTACTTAAGTGGCAGTTGCTGTACGTGTGTACGGTATGTTTCAAAAGATGAATATTTTGTCACATTCTACTAAATGGAATATACCTTCACGGAACCGCCTCCGGAACGTTGTCGTAGGTGTAAGCGTTGGAGTTGTTTTTCCGTGTTTTTCAGATGATAAATGTCGTTAAGACATAAGAGCTTTTATTTTTTTTACTTCGCGTGAGGATAAATGCCTCGGTCATGAAATAATCTATATAGTTATCCTTTTAATCCGGATTGTTTCGTTTTCATGGACCTCGTACAGAATTACTTCTAGCCAGATTAACGAGTAATACCCTTCATATATACATACATTAGTCCGGAATGGAGAGGGGAGTTGTCGGGATGTTTGTGTCCGCATTAACGAGTAATATCATTCATATACACATATATTAGTCCGGAAAAGAGGGGGAGGGGGTGTCCGCATTAACGAGTAATACCCTTCATATACATATACATTAGTCAGAAAAAAGGGGTCGGGATGTTTGTGTCCGGATTAGCGAGGTTTCACTGTTGCTGTTCTCGTGGAACTGATGAGGTTCTCAGTATCATCAACTCTGCACGTATCGAGGTCGTAGGGGCGGCTCATACGAGCACCAAGGGGTTCAGTATGTCAAACCATATTTGATTATCCCCGCCGCGATAAGACTTGACTATAGTTAAACCGTTGCAAACCCAAACACTAACAATTGTATGAGCTGTGTAACTTAGAAACATTCCTCCCACATGTGTTAACTCACATCCCGTGATAGCTGACATTTGTACTGTTCACAGTGGTGTCAACCCAACTCATCTCACTTAAAATGAGGGGCGGTCGGGTAGCTTAGTGGTGAAGGGGTTCGCTCGTCCGCCGAAGACCCGGGTTCGATTCTCGACATGGGTAAATGTTTGAAGCCCATTTTTGGTGTCCCCTCCGTGATATTGCTGGAATATTGATAAAAGCGGCGTAAAACCATATTTACTCATTCGCTCACTTAATATGATGTACGTCGGTCTGAGAAGAGCTCCCTCATGGTACAGAGGAATGCCTGGCAGGCCAAGTCCGTAATATCACTGTGGTATGACCTCACTAGCACACACCTAATCCGTTATGCATGCTTCTCAATTAACAACAGTACAGTGCAATAATGTAGAAAATAATGCTGTAAATTGTATTTGTTAAAATTGCAATCGATGTATTATTTGGTGGGCCTTTAGTCCCAGTCGACTGGCGCGGTGACTCGGCTTGTCACATAGTTTGTCATGATAGGATGCGATACATACGTGACTTTCATGCTTTTGTCATCCATCGACCGTTGTTTGTGATCAGGAAGATTCGGTATTGTCGTGAGCTAAATATATTAAAAAAACCTGCTCGGCAGGGAGGCTTGCCAACTGCGCAGCAGCATCTGTACATCTACACAAAGTAGGAATGCAGTGTGTTACTGATCTTGTCACGCCACACCCGTCTGATGTCATAAATGGTATTTGTCAAGGTTGACAATAGTTGAATAAACAGATAAATTTTATAGATACTTTTTAACTATGTCATGTAATTACTGATGAAATACTGACAGTAATAAACCTGAAAATATAAAATCGATATCCCACTCGGGTAATATAACATGTTGTTTCCCTCGAGCGAAATAACACTGATACACTTGATATTTTCACTCGTGGGAAAGCCAAGAACAGCCCCCTATACACTGGGGGGCACGGGTGGCCCAGTCGTCTAAGGCGCCGCGATTCGCTGTGCAGAGTTGCGTCCCTTGGGCAAGCCAGAAACCTATGATTGTGGGTTCGAATCCCGGTTCGCCCCTATTATGTTTCTAGGTTTGTCAGCACCATACCCGTGCTCGTGGGTTTCACCGAAGTGGTAAACGTCTAGGACCTGCATCACTTCGGGCTTTCCTCCCACATTAAGCTGACACGCCGCGATATAACTGGAATACTGTTAAAAGCGGCGTTAAACCGAACTCACTCACTCACTCACCCATATACACTGATAAATAGTTGTGTGCTTTTATCAGGAGATGGATGTCAAGGCAAGCTTTGTGCCTGGCTGTAGTCAACATACAGATTGAATAATTCTCCTCCACACTTATCCGAATTTGTTTTGTTTGTTTTTCAATTTTTGGAAATTATAATAATTTCACCAACGTCTACGTGAAGATCCGGGTTAGAATTTATCTTCAGCAACCTATGCTTATCGTTAGGGGCGACTAACGGGCTCGGGTGGTCAGGCTCGTTGACTTGTCATCGTATACCTGCACAGTCGCCTCTGACGACAAGCATAGGATGCTTGAAAACCTATTGTAGCCCGTATCTTCACGGGTCAGAAAGGTATGGAGGTGATTATGTGAATGAGTGAATGTGTGAGTATGGGTTTACGCCGTTTTTAACAATATAAGAGCGATATCACGGCGGGGAACACAAGAAATGGCTTCATACGCTGTACCCATGTGGAAATCGTCGGCGTGACGAGCGAACACTTTAACGACATGAATTGCAATTTAACCACATGCATAATACAGTTAGGGTGCAAAATGTCACGTTCGTATGGAGCGTGTGATCTGTGACAGACGATTTCAGGAGTATATAATAACTGGTTATGAAATTGCATCCCGGTTTGAGTCACCCTACTTGCACCTTATTCATCCATACCTGCATGCCAGCCACTCCATGTTGACATGCCTGCCTGTCTGTCTGCTGTGTTGTAACATTCACTTCTTATTGTCCCTCAGTCACGTTATCAGGGGGCACTGGTGGCCCAGTCGTCTAAGGAGCCGCGATTCGCTGTGCAGAGTTGCGTCCCTTGGGCACGCCAAAAACCTATGACTGTGTCTCCTACATATAATCAATGGAGCTGTTGAAATCTCAGGAAATCTTATAAATTTGTTTGGGTACGGTTTGAAAGTCAGGTTTATGGACTTAATCGATTAGTAAAAGGAGAGAGTGCGATTAGTGATCAAGGCAGTAGCGTTTAACACAAGTGGTACATTTTGTAGATAAAGAATAACACGATCGAAAGCCCAAAATCAGAAACAGTGTACAACACTGACTTTCTGAAGCGTCACTCAGTGATTATAAGGGGGCACGGGTGGCCCAGTCGTCTAAGGCGCCGCCATTCGCTGTGCAGAGTTGCGTCCCTTACACACGCCAGAAACCTATGATTGTGGGTTCGAATCCCGGTTCACCCCATTAGGTTTCTAGGTTTGCCAGCACCATACCCGTGCTCGTGGGTTTCACCGAAGTGGTTAACGTCTGAGACCTGCATCACTTCGGGCTTTCCTCCCACATTAAGTTGACACGCCGTGATATAACTGCAATACTGTAAAAAGCGGCGTTAAACCCAACTAACTTACTCACTCAGTCACGTTATCTGGTCGACCCAAACGTTATACACATGCATCTCACAGTCCGACTATGTCGCAATGAGGGATATTTTATGACGCTTCGTGATTGTTTGTTGGACTAAGCTCATAATCAGTCACTCCACCAACCTCAGCCATGTTGGTTACCCCTGCCAGTATTAGGTGGAATCGATATTGGATTTACTGGTGTCGCTAGTTTACATGACTATTTCATAACACAACACAATCTGGCGGCAGTCGAGGCAAAAAATATATAGCAAGTATTGCCCTTATCAAATTGTATACCAAATTTCTGCTATTAAGAAACATATCGCACGTCATGCTGTACGAACCAAGTGCAGAGGGAAAGTAAAGGATGCAGTTTGTCTTCTAATGTTGCTGCCACATACACCGGGGTGGGAGGGGAGGGGAGGGGAGGGGAGGGGAGGAGAGTGGAGTAGGGGTAGGGGAGGATTACATATACATCATTTATTGTTAATTATGGAGTGAAATATTATACTTTGAGAATTTATTTGAAAATCGTAATTATTCGTCACTTATACAGATGATTAACTACATAAATATTCTAACAATTTTGATTGTCCGGTTTTTAATCACATTATCTCATAACACTAAAGGTCGTCTCACGTCTTCCATGCAGCAACAGTGGGATGTCCACCCACATTGATACATGCTCGTGCAATCGATATATTGTGATCCCCCGACGAACAAAACTCGTACACAACTTATAATTGCCTGTGAAGACCTCAACTTTGGTGTCTCACCCTGGGAGTGTGGGTTTGAATCCCGGATTGGACGCAACCCCAAAAGTACTAGAATCTGTACTTTACTGAGAATGAGTTATCCCAATATAACATTTGTTACATATTAATTGCCTGGCCAAGTCAACGATTCATGTGGCACACATGCGACAGATTGATGTATCGTATAGGGCAATATGATTGACAGATTCTTTATGAAACCTGTTTTCAACATATTGCGAAGTGCCTGATTCATATAACCCGATAACTGCCAGTAATCCTGTTTTGTTCAAAGCTCTTCATTTCATCTATGTATCACTAGACATGACACGTTACTCCTCATAAAGATATCATTCAATAGTACCTGATTCATATAACCCGATAACTGCAAGTAATCCTGTTTTGTGCAGAGCTCTACATCTATGTATCACCAGACATGACACGTTAATCCTCATAAAGATATCATTCAATAGTACCTGATTCATATAACCCGATAACTGCAAGTAATCCTGTTTTGTGCAGAGCTCTACATGTCATCTATGTATCACCAGACATGACACGTTAATCCTCATAAAGATATCATTCAATAGTACCTGATTCATATAACCCGATAACTGCAAGTAATCCTGTTTTGTGCAGAGCTCTACATGTCATCTATGTATCACCAGACATGACACGTTAATCCTCATAAAGATATCATTCAATAGTACCTGATTCATATAACCCGATAACTGCAAGTAATCCTGTTTTGTGCAGAGCTCTACATGTCATCTATGTATCACCAGACATGACACGTTAATCCTCATAAAGATATCATTCAATAGTACCTGATTCATATAACCCGATAACTGCAAGTAATCCTGTTTTGTGCAGAGCTCTACATGTCATCTATGTATCACCAGACATGACACGTTATTCCTCATAAAGATATGATTCAATTGTATTAATTTGAAGTGAACATGTGAATTAAATGCTTGCAATTGTTTCATGATTCCCCTTTGTGTTGTGCTGTTTCCTTGATTCCTAATATTTTATAAGTGTGTTGGGTTCTTTGGCAAAAACGTTTCACCACAACTTTAACAAACGTTCAATTACACGTAAACACGGAAGCTGTTGATATCATAACTACTATCTACACTCCCGGGCAGAAGAAGTATACACTTTATAATTGAGTGAGTATGGTTTTACGCCGCTTTTAGCAATATTCCAGCAATATCACGGCGAGGGACACCAGAAATGGGCTTCACACATTGTACCCATGTCGGGAATCGAACCCGGGTCTGCGGCGTGACGAGCTAGCCACTGGGCTACCCGACCGCCCCACACTTTATAATTGGATTTGATCAGTAAATTACAAACGTTATGAAAACCGAGCAAGGCTGAAAGCAGTTGCCAAAACAATGCTAACTTAATGTCCAAAACACGTCTGTGATCCCCGAGTCAAATACATCACTATCGAAAAGCATTTTCTTTTCCACTAAACATGGGAGTGCACTTTCTTTTGTTCAACAGGTTAGTTGTAGTCATTTAACCACAACCAAAAAACAAAGTAACTCACTCTCCCACTTGCACATGTGTGTTTCGAAGCGACAAGCAGGTCAAGTATTTGATCAAAAGATCCCACCCACTTAATGTAATGTGCAATATGTCATTGTTATGGTGTATAATTTGTTTGCTTCTTGTGCACTCTCCAACTTACACATGTGTGTGTTTCGAAGCGACAAGCAGGTCAAGTATTTGATAAAAAAATGCCACCCACTTTATGTAATGTGCAATATGTCATGGTTATGGTGTATAATTTGTTTGCTTCTTGTGCACTCTCCAACTTACACATGTGTGTGTTTCGAAGCGACAAGCAGGTCAAGTATTTGATCAAAAGATCCCACCAACTTTATGTAATGTGCAATATGTCATGGTTATGGTTTATTTTTTGTTTGCTTTTTGTGATCGGGGATGATTACATAATATTATACAGCATTTATTGTTAATTATGGAGTGAAACATTTTATTTTGAAAATCTTAATTATTCGTCACCTTTACAAACGATAAACTGCATAAATATTCTAATAATTTTGATTTCCGGTCTTTCATCTCAATCTCTTGACACTAAAATTATTCTCACGTCTTCCATGCAGCAACAGTTGGATGTCCACCCACATTGATACGTGGTCGTGCAATCGATTTATTGTGATCTCCCTTGACGAACAAAATTCGTACACAACTTATAACTGCCTGTGTCTCACCCTGGGAATGTGGGTTCGAATCCCGGAATGGACGCAAGAATCTGTACTTTACTGAGAATGTGTTATCCCAATATAACATTTGTTACATATTAATTGCCTGGCCAAGTCTACGATTCATGTGGCACACATGCGATAGATTGATGTATCGTATAGGGCAATATGATTGACAGATTCTTTATGAAACTGTTTGTAATACATATTGCGAAGTACCTGATTCATATAACCCGATAACTGCCAGTGATCCTGTTTTGTTCAAAGCTCTTCACGTCATTTACATGTATGTATCACCAAACATGACACGTTACTCCTCATAAAGATATCATTCAATAGTACCTGATTCATATAACCCGATAAGTGCCAGTAATCCTGTTTTGTTCAAAGCTATTCACGTCATTTATGTATCACCAGACATGACACGTTACTCCTCATAAAGATATCATTCAATAGTACCTGATTCATATAACCCGATAACTGCCAGTAATCCTGTTTTGTTCAAAGCTCTTTATTTCACCAGGAATCATAGTCTAGCATCTAGTCTCTGAAATGAACATATTTTACGGATAAAAACCGTTGTTAAATTATAGTTTACTTATAAAATATGACAAAAAGGAGCACAGAGACTAAGTCTATCTTCTGCAGTAATCTAGACTTGCTGAATAGACTTGTATTGGATATATTTGATTCAGGATCTGTATGACAGACTACTGGAATACCCATGGGGCTGATATTGTACAGAATAATAAAAACAATAACGGCATTGTTAAATGTTTCACAGTGTCTGCCAGCCGATGTCGCCCGCCCTTCTTTGGCGACAAGTGCCAGTACCAGTGTCACTGCGCCCTGGAGGCACCATGCGACGCCGTCACCGGAAGCTGTAACGGATCCGGATGCGCATTGGGATGGATGGGACCACTTTGCCAGTACCGTAAGTTTCCGTCACCAGAAATAATAATACTTTACCCGTGGACCATGTCCCGCAAAATACTGTTGTTTCATAGCCGTTGTATCTACCTAAGTCCCAGCATGGTCCACCGATCACCGTAAAGAATGACCAGTTTCACATCTCTACCACACACGTTATACGCGTAATAACCCATTGCACCAGTGGTACATGTAATACGGTATCTGATGCATCTTCCCTAGGTAAGGGAGTTAACACACTATATAAGTCCAGTTTTCACCCCTGGCGAACTAGGGTGGAAATCCAGAGTTTTATTTTGGCTAGTCCAATCAAAATCGTATAACTAACTAGACATCCGGTTCGTGAACAACATGGATTTCAACATGCAGATTTCGATCGACTGCAGGATTTGCAAAGCATGTGTTCCGTCATTGACAGTTATTTTGCAAATATTGTCATGTTTTTAATCAAGGTGCTCAAGTAATATGATGAACTTCGCGGGGTAAAACCCGTTTTATTACAATATAGATCTTGAGTATCGATCAGTTTCTGTAATACCCGAGTTATCTATATTACCGGTGGTTTCTGTAATACCCGTAGTACCTATATTACCCGTGGTTTCTGTAATACCCGTGGTTCCTATATTGCCCGTGGTTTCTGTAATACCCGTGGTACCTATATTACCCGTGGTTTCTGTAATACCCATGGTACCTATATTACCCATGGTTTCTGTAACACCCGTGGTTTTTGTAATACCCGTAGTACCTATATTACCGGTGGTTTCTGTAATACCCGTGGTTCCTATATTACCCGTGGTTTCTGTAATACCCGTGGTACCTATATTACCCCTGGTTTCTGTAATACCCGTAGTACCTATATTACCCGTGGTTTCTGTAATACCCGTGGTACCTATATTATCCGTGGTTTCTGTAATACCCATGGTACCTATATTACCCATGGTTTCTGTAACACCCGTGGTTTTTGTAATACCCGTAGTACCTATATTACCCGTGGTTTCTGTAATACCCGTGGTTCCTATATTACCCGTGGTTTCTGTAATACCCGTAGTACCTATATTACCTGTGGTTTTTGTAATACCCGTGGTACCTATATTACCCATGGTTTCTGTAATACCCGTGGTACCTATATTACCCGTGGTTTCTGTAATACCCATGGTACCTATATTACCCATGGTTTCTGTAACACCCGTGGTTTTTGTAATACCCGTAGTACCTATATTACCCGTGGTTTCTGTAATACCCGTGGTTCCTATATTACCCGTGGTTTCTGTAATACCCGTAGTACCTATATTACCTGTGGTTTCTGTAATACCCGTGGTACCTATATTACCCATGGTTTCTGTAATACCCGTGGTACCTATATTACCCGTGGTTTCTGTAATACCCGTGGTACCTATATTACCCATGGTTTCTGTAATACCCGTGGTACCTATATTACCCGTGGTTTCTGTAATACCCATGGTACCTATATTACCCGTGGTTTCTGTAATACCCGTAGTACCTACATTGTATATTACCCGTGGTTTCTGTAATCACCGTAGTACCTATATTACACTTGTTTTTTGTAATACCCGTAGTACCTATATTACCCATGGTTTTTTTTAATACCCGTGGTATGTAATTTAACCGTGGTTTCTGTAATACCCGTGATCTATATACGTTATTTCAGTGAACCTCGCCTATGACCTGCCCGCGTCCGCCTCCCCCGTCCTCAACAGCCCCCAGCTTGCCGTGGACGGGGACATCAACACTTGCTTCGAGACGCTGGCGACAAGCGGCTCCCCATCATGGCAGGTGAACTTGGAGACGAATCAGTGGATTACCTGGATCCGGATCCACACAGGTAGAACATGCGACTTTACTTCGTAACGCCATCACAACGTTACATATCAGGGAGAATAATTTACGGAAAGGCAAAACGTCAAAGCCACATACTAATCAGCCTTCGTCATCTCCCCCAAAAGATTTCATTTGATGTAAAAGGTAAAATAGTAATAACAAATATATGACTGGATCACTGAAAATCACAGACGACACCAGGTCTTCGTATATAAGAAAGTAATGATAAGATATATGGAAGAACAACTCCTGTATTACAATTAGGAGTGACGTTTAGGCGTAGGCTCTAACACCGTTATCAAGCGAGTGATGTACAGAGTATGGTTGAAATACCCCTGCGAACCATCAACTTATCAAAGACCCCAATCCGTCTTATCCTTTTGTTTATATTACTGGCTTCACCTGTTAAAATGTTTATCTTATATCACCTCTTTTGTACGGTGGCCCATAAGGGACATGGAGTCTGTTTTTCCATATTTTGATGTTTCACTTACTTTTATCGTAACCTTTAGCAAATTAACACAATTTGTCATACAAATATGTAATAAATCATGTATAAAAGCAACCGAAAACACGGAAAATGTACTTTCAAATGTGAAGCGAAAATGTCAAAAACTAAATTGGAAATGTCAAAAACCAACCAATGTTTTTGACATTTTCATTTTAGTTTTTGACATTTTCGTTTTTGTTTTTTGACATTTTCATTTTAATTTTGACATTTTCGTTTCACTTTTCTGCGATTCAATATCTTCTTTACACATGATTTATCACATATTTGTAAGACAAATCGTGTTAATTTGCAAAAGGTAACGACAAAAGTAAGTGAAATATCCAAATATGGAAAAACAGACTGCATGTCCCTTATGGGCCACCGTACTTTTGTGTGCATAACTACCAAAATCTACCCAACTGTAGAAACACTGCCTCGGAACTGTGTATGTACTTGTCAACGGTGTACATCACTTGCTTGATAACAGTGTTAGAACCTACACCGTGACGTCGCTCCTCATTGAAATCACGAAGTTGTTCATCCATATATCTTATCCTTACTTAGTACTCCAACTTCTAAATGCCCCTGAGAGAAGATGTTCGTATAAAGTTTAAGACTGTCCTTTCGGTATCACCGTCATTCACACAATTGATACAAAGTAAACTATGTTTATAACGAACTCAAAGGGACCGCTTATTTTAGTTCGCTGTAACCGTAGTTTGTTGTAAGCATATATGCAGCATATAGACAACAAATGGCCGGGACAAAAAAACAATCGTTATATCCGCGAGGTCGTCATAAACATGTTCGTTATAAAAAGTGTTGGAACAGTCTACCTCTTTCAGGTACAAGTGCGGCGTACAATTATATTCACTTTCACTCCTTGCAGCCACGACGACAGACCTGCTGATTGAGTTGGACCGCCTTGACGGCAACGGTGACGTCATCACGTCTGTGTGCAACTCCTCCTATAACCCCCGACACCGGGTGTCAGCTGGACATCTGGACATCCGATGCAAGGAACCAATACTGGCCAGATGGGTCAAGATCATTAGGCACGTAAACGCGTCACCAAGGTTACAGCTGTGTGAAGTGGAGGTCGGTGGAGGTAAGACGCAGCACACTTGTCAGCATGGATAGTTGTAGGATAGTTTAAATGGAGGTCAGTGGAGGTAAGACGCAGCACACTTGTCAGCATAGATAGTTGTAGGATAGTTTAAGTGGAGGTCAGTGGAGGTAAGACGCAGCACACTTGTCAGCATGGATAGTTGTAGGATAGTTTAAATGGAGGTCAGTGGAGGTAAGACGCAGCACACTTGTCAGCATGGATAGTTGTAGGATAGTTTAAATGGAGGTCAGTGGAGGTAAGACGCAGCACACTTGTCAGCATGGATAGTTGTAGGATAGTTTAAGTGGAGGTCAGTGGAGGTAAGACGCAGCACACTTGTCAGCATGGATAGTAGGATAGTTTAAATGGAGGTCAGTGGAGGTAAGACGCAGCACACTTGTCAGCATGGATAGTTGTAGGATAGTTTGGGAGGAGGTCTGACGCAGAACACTTGTCAGCATGGATAGTTGTAGGATAGTTTAAATGGAGGTCAGTGGAGGTAAGACGCAGAACACTTGTCAGCATGGTTATATTGGGTGATATATATCTCATTTCACTTATAACCGGAGGTGTATTATGATCCGCCTACATGTTCTCATGTAGCAATGAGCCGCCTCCGTGGTCTTGTGGTAGAGCGTCCGCCCGCAGAGGGGAAGGTCCGGGGTTCGATACCCGGCCGCGTCATACCAAAAGACGTTAAAAGATGGTACTTGTTGTTACCCTGTCTGGCGCTCGGCATTAAGGGGCTAAATCAAGGACTGGTCGGCTCGGAGTCAGTATACTGTGTCTGAGTGGGGTATTCATGTTAAACTGCGGCATGGTATCTCAGTGAGCTAGCACTATAAATCGGCATCAGTCCGGACTAGTACAAGCAGCCACACACACACATACACGTGCATGCACGTCGCTATATAAGTGCAATAATCTTGGACGCGACGTTAAACCCAATATCACCTCACCTCATGTAGCAATGTTATTTATGTAAATATTTTTTTTTTTTACAATTCAAGACTTGAAATCACTACATCATTGCTCTGTTACCAAGACTGAAAAATGGAAGGATCATTTTTAAGCTATTTTTTATTACCGATTTGTATTTTAATGTATGTTTCAGTAACTTTTATTGGCTATGATACATAAACGGGAAGCTGAAAAAGTATATAGATTATTGTATTCGCTCGGAGTGGAGTCAGAAATTCTATACTCTTCGTGTCTTAGTCGGCTTATGTATCGACGTATTAGAAACTTACCAAGTGGCGTATTGGCATACATCTGGAACTCTTACACACATGTATTCCTTCATTATTAAAAGAATCATAAGGCTGTTTCTGGACTACGATAAGGTATTATGGGTGATGGGTTTAGCACTGTATGTAGAGTTTTCGCCTTAATTTTATGGAATATCCAAGGTCATCTTCCCGAGGCAAGGGAGTTAACTGACTATAAAAGTCCAGTTTCAACCCTTGCCGAACTAGGCTGGTATTATGGAGTTACATTTTGGCTGGACTAACGAGTCTATGCATAGTCCAATCAAAATCGTGCAACGAAATCGAAATCCGGTAGGTAAACTGTCGTGTAGATTTCGGTCGATTGCAGGGTTTACAAAGCATGTACACCGCCAACTCGTTGTCAACAAATATGTTCCAAATCTTTTCATGTTTTTTATCAAGGTGCTCACCCATTTTTGATGCACTTCGCGATGTAAGACCGTTTTATCACACTATAGAACTTGATTATCGATCAGATCGTCTTGACTGGGCGCCGCCATTTTGTTTGATACAAATGCAAGTGATACGAGAGGTGGAATCTGATTGGTCCATAGGAGAGGCTCAGAAGGTCCATGACTCGTAATAACCACTAGTGGCGCTACGATCGAGCTCAGGAATTACAGCCTAGTTCGGTAAGGGTGGAAACTGGACTTTTAAAGTCAGTTAACTCCCTTGCTTCGGGAAGATGATCCAAGGTGGGTCTAAAGGCATTGCTTCTTGTTGGCAGGGCGTAACGTCGCCTTGAAGAAGCGCACCTACCAGAGTTCAACCTGGGGCGGTCCTGACTTTATCAACGGCACCCTAAAGGCCTACAACTTCACGTCCGACCTCGCCGTGGACGGCAGCACAGCCACGGACTTCACAAGGGGGTCGTGCACGGTGACCAACGTGCTGAACACGCCCACGTGCAGAGAAGGGACAACGAACCCGTCTTGGGCCGTGGACCTTGGGCAGCTGTACGACATCTACAGCGTGGTCGTCTACAACAGGGGCGATCGTAAGTAGCAAATATGATAGCCAAGGACGACGATGTTCTATTTTAGAGCGAGATCCACTTTTAAAGACACAAAATTGTAGACATATTCGTAGTCGGATTCCCCACGGGATATAGCCTGTTTAGGCATTGTCTCGTCTATTAATTGTTGAAAATAGCAATTACTTAGAAAGCGGAACGTGGCATTATAACACATGGTACACCATGCCTCAGCTCATCATGGGTGCTCAACTCAGACAGAGCGTGCTGACTCCGAGCCGACCGTTCCTTGTCTTATCCTTTTAGTCCCGAACCTGCAACAAGTACCATTTTTTACGTCTTTTGGAACCACCGACCTTCAGCTTTCTGTATACGTTTTGAGACCCGTGAAGATCCGGGGTAGAAAAGGTCTTCAGCAACACATGCTTGCGGTAAAAGGCGACTGTGCTTGTCGTAAGAGGCGACTAACGGGATGGGGTGGTCAGGCTCTCTGACGTGGTTGATGCATGTCATCGTATCCCAAATGCGTGGATCGATGCTTATGATGTCAATCACTGGACAGTCTGGTCGATTATTTACAGACAGCCGTCATGTAGCTGGAATATTGCTTAGTGTGGCGTTAATCAACAAACAAACATCCAAAAACAAACAAAATATACGTTTTGAGAGTATTATGTAACAGATAACTGTTGATAATTATCTTTTTTGGAGAGGAAGGATCGACGAGACGGACAATGAAATAACAAACGGATAAAAGCAACATGTCCACTGCTTGTGTTTGTGTCGTCCACAGCTGGGTTGACGAACAGACTGGCTGGCTTCTCCCTGCTCACTTCCGGTCCGGAGTACATGGAGATATACCGTGACGTCACCAACAACCCGGCGCTCGTGACGGAAGTGGAGGTCCCCGGGAACCTGACAGCTGACGGCGTCCTTCTCCGTCTCTATGGCTGCCGCATCCTCACTCTGTGTGAGGTCGAGGTGTACGGAGGTAAGGGCACTCTGTTTGAGGTCGAGGTGTACGGAGGTAGGGAATCTCTGTGTGAGGTCGGGGTGTACGGTGGTGGGGGCACTCTGTTTGAGGTCGAGGTGTACGGAGGTAGGGACACTCTGTTTGAGGTCGAGGTGTGCAGAGGTAGGGGCACACTGTGTGAGGTCGAGGTGTACGGAGGTAGGGACACTGTGTGAGGTCGAGGTGTTCGTTTGTAGGGCCACTCTGTGTGAGGTCGAGGTGTACGGAGGTAGGGGCACACTGTGTGAGGTCGAGGTGTTCGTTTGTAGGGCCACTCTGTGTGAGGTCGAGGTGTACGGAGGTGGGGACACTCTGTGTGAAGTCGAGGTGTACGGAGGTAGGGGCACTGTGTGAGGTCGAGGTTGACGATTGTAGGGCCACTCTCTGTGAGGTCGAGGTGTACGGAGGTAGGGGCACTCTGTGTGAGGTCGAGGTGTACGGAGGTGGGGACACTCTGTGTGAGGTCGAGGTGTACGGAGGTAGGGGTACTCTCTGTGAGGTCGAGGTGTACGGAGGTGGGGGCACACTGTGTGAGGTCGAGGTGTACGGAGGTAGGGGCACTGTGTGAGGTCGAGGTGTACGGAGGTAGGGGCACTGTGTGAGGTCGAGGTGTACGGAGGTAGGGGCACTGTGTGAGGTCGAGGTGTACGATTGTAGGGCCACTCTGTGTGAGGTCGAGGTGTACGGAGGTAGGGGCACACTGTGTGAGGTCGAGGTGTACGGAGGTAGGGGTACTCTCTGTGAGGTCGAGGTGTACGGAGGTAGGGCCACTCTGTGTGAGGTCGAGGTGTACGGAGGTAGGGGCACTCTGTGTGAGGTCGAGGTGTACGGAGGTAGGGCTACTCTGTGTGAGGTCGAGGTGTGCGATTGTAGAGCCACTCTGTGTGAGGTCGAGGTGTACGGAGGTGGGGGCACACTGTGTGAGGTCGAGGTGTACGGAGGTAGGGGCACTCTGTGTGAGGTCGAGGTGTACGGAGGTAGGGGTACTCTCTGTGAGGTCGAGGTGTACGGAGGTGGGGGCACACTGTGTGAGGTCGAGGTGTACGGAGGTAGGGGTACTCTGTGTGAGGTCGAGGTGTACGGAGGTAGGGACACTCTGTGTGAGGTCGAGGTGTACGGAGGTGGGGGCACACTGTGTGAGGTCGAGGTGTACGGAGGTAGGGGCACTCTCTGTGAGGTCGAGGTGTACGGAGGTAGGGGTACTCTGTGTGAGGTCGAGGTGTACGGAGGTAGGGGTACTCTGTGTGAGGTCGAGGTGTACGGAGGTGGGGGCACTATGTGTGAGGTCGAGGTGTACTGAGGTGGGGCCACACACTATAGCTAGGAAACATATGCACCCACGAACAGTTAGTAATAGTATCAAGAAAAGCAAATACATTATCAGTCGAGGTTTCAAAACGCAAACGTAGTGTCAATATACGACGGCCGTTCAATACGTTTTGCAATCTTTTGCACTTTTATATTTCAATATAACCTCCATTCACCTCAATACACTTAATGTTAGTTATTATTGCTTAGTTAAATCAACAATAAAATACCTTTTTACAAGCAACAAATAAAGCCCACTGTCAGTAGCAAAAACATCAATAGCGAGTATATAATCAGTAGTAAAACAAACGAACACATACATTGCTGTGTATAACAGAAATATAGCGTCCACCACCGTCTCCCGCAGATTGCCTGGACGAGTTGCACGGCCTGGAGTGTAACAATACCTGCCAGTGTCGGGACGAAGACGAGGCGTGTGGGAAGCTGGACGGCCAGTGTCTGTCTGGGTGCCCTGATGGCTACACAGGGCTCGACTGTACACAATGTAAGTGTGCACCTAACACCTGACCTAGACTGTACACAATGTAAGTGTGGACTTAACACCTGACCTAGACTGTACACAATGTAAGTGTGCACTTAACACCTGAGCTTGACTGTACACAATGTAAGTGTGCACTTAACACCTGAGCTTGACTGTACACAATGTAAGTGTGCACTGAACACCTGACCTAGAATGTACATAATGTAAGTGTGGACTTAACACCTGACCTAGACTGTACACAATGTAAGTGTACACGTAACACCTGACCTAGAATGTACATAATGTAAGTGTGGACTTAACACCTGACCTAGACTGTACACAATGTAAGTGTGCACTTAACACCTGAGCTTGACTGTACACAATTTAAGTGTGGACTTAACACCTGACCTAGACTGTACACAATGTAAGTGTGCACTTAACACCTGAGCTTGACTGTACACAATGTAAGTGTGCACTTAACACCTGAGCTTGACTGTACACAATGTAAGTGTGCACTTAACACCTGACCTTGACTGTACACAATGTAAGTGTGCACTTAACACCTGAGCGTGACTGTACACACTGTAAGTGTGCACTTAACTCCTGACCTTGACTTTACACAGTGTGAGTGTGGACTTAACACAGGAGCTTGACTGAACACAATGTGAGTGTGCACTTAACACCTGAGCGTGACTGTACACAATGTAAGTGTGCACTTAACACCTGACCTTGACTTTACACAGTGTGAGTGTGGACTTAACACAGGAGCTTGACTGAACACAATGTGAGTGTGGACTTAACACAGGAGCTTGACTGTACACAATGTAAGTGTGCACTGAACACCTGAGCTTGACTGCACACAATGTAAGTGTGCACTTAACACCTGACCTTGACTGTACACAATGTAAGTGTGCACTTAACACCTGAGCGTGACTGTACACAATGTGAGTGTTTGACTTAACACAGGACCTAGACTGTACAAAATGTGAGTGTGGACTTAACACAGGACCAAGACTGTACACAATGTGAGTGTGGACTTAACACAGGACCTAGACTGTACACAATGTGAGTGTGGACTTAACACCTGAGCTTGCCTGTACACAATGTGAGTGTGGACTTAACACAGGACCTAGACTGTACACAACGTAAGTGTGGACTTAACACAGGACCTAGACTGTACACAACGTAAGTGTGGACTTAGCAAAGGACCTAGACTGTACACAATGTGAGTGTGGACTTAACACAGGACCTAGACTGTACACAATGTGAGTGTTTGACTTAACACAGGACCTAGACTGTACACAATGTGAGTGTTTGACTTAACACAGGAACTAGACTGTACACAATGTGAGTGTTTGACTTAACACAGGACCTAGACTGTACACAATGTGAGTGTTTGACTTAACACAGGACCTAGACGGTACACATTCTGAGTGTGGACTTAACACAGGACCTACATGTAGACTGTACACAATGTGAGTGTTTGACTTAGCACAGGACCTAGACTGTACACAATGTGAGTATGAACGTAACTCAGCAGCTTGACTGTACATAATCTAAGTGTGGACTTAACTCAAGGTCTTGACAAAGGGGCTTAACAGTTAAAACTGTTAGTGCTCATGTGACACAGGAACGTGACTACCCATAGATCTTAAGTGCGAACTTAACACCAAGACCCGGACGTTCAAACTGTAAGTGTCAAGGTAGCACATGGATGATTGACGTTTTCATGTCTCATGTAATCCGTGACCTTTACATTGGATCCACCAAACCGGCCACCGTCACGTGTTGATTTCCTACCTCATAAACACTCAGAAAAGGCAAAAAGACAACTTACTGACCCTCCCTTGTTCCAGTGTGTCGGAACGGGACGTACGGCCTGGACTGTAACAAGACGTGTAACGACAACTGCCTGGACGACTCATGCCACCCCGTCACCGGGCGCTGCACCGACGGCTGTGAGCCGGGATGGATCGGACCCATGTGCAACAAAGGTAAGCTTTCTGTTCAACTATTCCCACTTGGTTCAGAGGTTGAATTTCAACCTATCAAATCCGCATACTACTGAAAGGCAGGATTGGAGATATATTCACCTTATTATTTTGTTATCATTGACGGCGCGAAGACCGTGACCAGAGTGCCGGTGTACAAAACAACCTTAGCACTACGACCGTCGTAAGTCTATGTAAGGTACAGCAAAGATCGATTTGTACAACGACACCCTGAACGACAAATGTACTATTCTTAGGGCAGAGCATATTTAACCATATTCTCTCCGATGTAGACACCCGTGTCTTGAACGATTAGTTGGTGAAGGAATTATTTGGTTTGTAGGCATTATATGTCTGAATCCATGATCACGTCATTTCGTGTTCTGTGTTTGATTTTGCAATGTTATCCGTGTTAGACGTGTTAGCCATATTAACCGTGTTATCCATGTGAGCCGTGTTAGCAATGTTAGCCGTGTTAGCAATGTTAGCCTTGTTAGCTGTGTTATCCATGTCAACCGTGTTAGCCATGTTAGCCGTGTTAGCCGTGTTAGCCGTGTTAGCAATGTTAGCCGTGTTAGCCGTGTTAGCCATGTTAGCCGTGTTAGCTGTGTTATCCATGTCAACCGTGTTAGCCATGTTAGCCGTGTTAGCTGTGTTATCCATGTCAACCGTGTTAGCCATGTTAGCCGTGTTAGCCGTGTTAGCCGTGTTAGCAATGTTAGCCGTGTTAGCCGTGTTAGCAATGTTAGCCGTGTTAGCCGTGTTAGCAATGTTAGCCGTGTTGGCCATGTTAGCCGTGTTGGCCATGTTAGCCGTGTTAGCCGCATTAGCCATGTTAGCAATGTTAGCCGTGTTAGCAATGTTAGCCATGTTAGCAATGTTAGCCATGTTAGCAATGTTAGCCATGTTAGCAATGTTAGCCGTGTTAGCCGTGTTAGCCGTGTTAGCCGTGTTAGCCATGTTAGCCGTGTTAGCCGTGTTAGCCGTATTAGCAATGTTAGCCCTGTTAGCCATGTTAGCCATGTTAGCCATGTTAGCAATGTTAGCCGTGTTGGCCATGTTAGCCGTGTTGGCCATGTTAGCCGTGTTAGCCGCGTTAGCCATGTTAGCAATGTTAGCCGTGTTAGCAATGTTAGCCATGTTAGCAATGTTAGCCATGTTAGCAATGTTAGCCGTGTTAGCCGTGTTAGCCGTGTTAGCCGTGGTAGCCGTGGTAGCCGTGTTAGCCATGTTAGCCGTATTAGCAATGTTAGCCCTGTTAGCCATGTTAGCCATGTTATCCATGTTAGCCATGTTAGCCGTGCTATCACTCATCATCACTACAACCTCCCATGCTTCTCCACAGCCTGCTCAGAGGGGTGGTATGGCCCTCAGTGTGAACTCCCCTGTAACCGGAACTGTCACCATCAGCTGTGCTACGCCCACAACGGCAGCTGTAGTCACGGGTGTTCAGCGGGCTGGATGGGCGTCAGCTGTCACAGAGGTGAGTACACCTAGCAGATAAACATACTGTTTTGAAATCGGAGGCAGTCTAACTAAAGAACTGCTTTGAGAGGCATTAAGAGTGAGTGAGTATGATTTTACGCCTCTTTTATCAACATTCCCGCAATATCACGGCGGGGGACACCAGAAATGGGCTTCACACATTGTACCCATGTCGGGAATCGAGCCCGTGTCTTCGGCGTGACGAGCTAACGCTTCAACCACTAGGCTACCCGACCGCCCAGATGCATTTAGAAGTTGGAGTACAAAGTAAGGACAACATATATGGATGAACAACTTTTTGTACAATAAGAGGGAACTTCGTTCGGTATAGATTATAACACCGTTATCAAGCAAGTGATGTTCAGAGTAAGGTTGACAAGCACATATACAGGTATGTTAATACAGTAGAGAACATGTAGATTAGGATGTTGTTAGGCTAGGGAAGCCTGTTTGTACACAAATGGGTGAAAAACGGTAAAACGTCTTAACAGGGGAAGCCAGTAGAAAAACAAACAAAGCCTACACCGAAACGTCGCTCCTAATAATAAATAAAGTAGTTGTTCATCCATATCCAATCCTTACTTAGTCTAACTAAAGATTAGGTATCTAGTTAATGTTTGGAATTAACTTTTGCATATAAACATTAACAACGGAACAATGCTGAAGTATAGTGAATACCACCATTGGTAGGTGACGACATGTCGACATTGTACGATATAAAAGAGTCTTAGAGGCTTCACGTTGGGTAGAGTGTGTTATACCTTATTATGTGCATTCTAAAATAGATTTCGTCAAGTTTGATAAGTTGGAGTACCGATATCGAACGTTTACATTTCTATGAGGCAGCCATTGTTACATGCATCGACTGGGTAGTGTTACTATAGATTGAGTGAGTTGGGTTTAACGCCGCTTTTAACAGTATTCCAGTTATATCTCAACTTGTCAGCTTAATGTGGGAGTAAAGCCCGAAGTGATGCAGGTCTCAGACATTTACCACTTCGGTGAAACCCACGAGCACGGGTATGGTGCTGACAAACCTAGAAACATAATCGGGGTGAACTGGGATTCGAACCCACAATCATAGGTTTCTGGCTTGCCCAAGGGACGCAACTCTGCTCAGCGAATCGCGGCGCCTTAGACGACTGTGCCACCCGTTCCCCCTATTACTGTGCCACCCGTGCCCCCTATTACTTTAGAGTTTATATTTACTGAAATCATTACACAACACGGCATTAAAGTATACCACACATCGGACAAGGCCATCGGAACAGGTCCAAACTCCATACAAAAATCTCTAAACATTTCGTAAACCTCAATGGAAATATGTTGGTAGGTACTCTTGTCAGGAAATGTAAATGATGTTTAACTGTTTCCAAAGGCCTCATCCTCCCAGAACAAATGACAGCTGTGTCTTAACATTGGATATAGTTTATGAAACAGTAACTGGAGTTACGGTGAATTTAGACCATTCAAACCTGGATTCAGATGCTGGAGCAGCATAGTCTTTATAATTGTTCTTGTCCAAATCAGAGTTCTAAGTTTATTGCGCTTTCAAGAGTTACGTCCAATTTCATGCGATCTGAAAGGTATTATTATAATGTGTTTCATGTTAGTACTTCTACATGTCCATGATTGCTGAAATATCTAAACATCACACTCAATCGGTAGATAGACAATACAAAACTTACTCATCATCAATATTTTCTCAATACATATATAAAGGAAAAGCAAACCTCAATAATAATCTTGTGGTCTGGCTCGCTGACTTGGTTGATGCAAGTCATCGTATACCAATTGCGTAGATCGATGCTCATGATGTCAATCACTTGGTTGACTGGTCCAGACTCGATTACTTACACACCGCCGTATAGCTGGAATAGTGCTGAGTGCGACGATAACAAACAAACAAACAAACAACCAAACATTAATCATAAAGACTTTGAAAGCTTGGAAACTTTTATTTGGGTCAGACAGGCTTAAATAGAATTCGCAGTGTCTCAATGAAACAGTAGGCATGTCTTGCGGGAAACAGAACAAAACATTCTGGATGCTTTCCTAACATCAACTGTATATAGCGAATTTTTACAGAGAAATGTTGTTAGCCTTGATCCTGTTTGCCTGAAAGGTCCGTCATATGATCTCTTACTTCAGAGAGCTTCTTTTCCGTATCAGTGATTCCTTCATCCCTACATTTGGTTATCCGGCCAACTATACAGGGAATGGCGGGCACGGGTGGCCCAGTCGTCTAAGGCGCCGCGATTCGCTGTGCAGAGTTCGGTACCTTGGGCATGCCAGAAACCTATGATTGTGGGTTCGAATCCCGGTTCACCCCAATTATGTTTCTAGGTTTGTCAGCACCATACCCGTGCTCGTGGGTTTCACCGAAGTGGTAAACGTCTGAGACCTGCATCACTTCGGGCTTTCCTCCCACATTAAGCTGACTCGCCGTGATATAACTGGAATACTGTTAAAAGCGGCGTTAAACCAAACTCACTCACTCACTCGTTGTATAACGTCCTGTCACGTATGGAATACTGTAAGGGACAGCCTCGCGATCTCGCTTTTTTCGCACTTTTGGCATATTTAGCTCGTTTCCAAAGGTCGAGATCGCGAGAATGCGAGATCGCGAGAATGTCCCTTACATTATTCCATAATCACCCGATCCTGTGTATAGCGCGCACAGGTAAAACGATCGGGCGAATTTGAGCAACCTTAGTGGCGGAGTGTAGGTGGATGGAAGGCCGTGTTTCCGGGATGGGATGTGGCATAGATGGTAAATCCTTGGACAATTGGTTTTCTTCTTAAATATGCCTCATCCTGATAGAATGGAATGATAATGTGACTGTTAACCTTCAGGCGCTTGATAGGCAGCTGGGATCGTCTACTCCCCAGGGAGCTGAGAATAAAAATCGAGGGTACATTGATTGATCCATTAGTGGGGTAATAATGGTGGACAGACTCACTGACTTGGTTGTTGAATGTCATCGTACCCCAAATGCGTAGATCGATGCTTATGATATCAATCACTGGATTGCCTGGTTCAGACTCGATTATTAACAGACCGCCGTCATATAGCTGGAATATTGCTGAGTGCGACGATAACAAACAAACAAAACAAAACAAAAAACGTAAAACAATCTTTTTTTAACGGCAGATTTAGTAGAATATACTTCAATAATATCAGATTATAATTGTAAATGTATATAAAAAAGGGTGATTGATAAGATCAGCCTAGCTTGGTGAACGACGTGTCTTCAGTACAACCGGTCTCTGGTTGATCTGGATCTGTGGCTGTCGTGGGTCTGCATACAGACAAACCTGGTGGATCCTCTTCACACAAACCGCCCTACCTTCCTCTCCAGTCATGCTGGATGAGCCCCATGCATAAATTGTACGTTTAGTTTATGGTGATGAGATCTCCCGCATTGTGTATGCATATTATCACGATATTATCACACGTTTCCACAAAGCCCTGACCATGTGCCTGACCTCCGTAATCCCCCGTGTAACCCCCCTGCGAATACATCAACGCTGTAAATGTGGTATAATTGTCCAATGACACAATCTACCATCTATCGTTAATCATGGACACAATGAATGTAATCCACGTAAGGATATTTATTACAACGTACCTTTTCCTGCCGCCGCTTCCAGGTGAGGTGAGGTGAGGTGAAATGGGGTTTAACGTCGCGTCCAAGATTATTGCACTTATATAGCGACGTGCATGCATGTGCGTCTGTGTGTACTTGTCCGGACTGATGCCGATTTACATTGCTAGCTCACTGAGATACCATGCCGAAGTTTAACATAAATACCCCACTCAGACACAGTATACTGACTCCGAGCCGACCAGTCCCTGTTTTAGCCCCTTAATGCCGAGCGCTAGACAGGGTAACAACAAGTACCATCTTTTAACCTCTTTTGGTATGACGTGGCCTGGGATCGAACCCCGGACCTTCCGCTCTCCCGGCGGACGCTCTACCACTAGACCACGGAGGCGGTCTCCGTTTCGAGGTATTGTATGACCACATACAACGTATTCTTCCTAAAATACGCTGCTATGTATTCAGTCATATTTAGAGGTACAGTGAGCTCGATTTCTGGGTCCCATCAGTGGTATATCGTCCCCACTTTGTAGGATGAGCGATGCATGGCATATAGGGTTGTTGCTAGACCTGTTTATGAGGGTACTAGCGCTCTCTATAGTACTGTACAGTGTGGTGTCTACAGCTCTCCATATTACGGCACAATGTGGCGTCTATCACTATTCATATTACTGTATAGTGGGGTGTCTACCGCTCTTCATATTACTGTACAGTGTGGTGTCTATCACAATTCATATTACTGTATAGTGGGGTGTCTATCACTATTCATATTACTGTGTAGTGGGGTGTCCACCGCTATTCATATTACTGCATAATGAGGTGTCTATCACTATTCATATTACTGTGTAGTGGGGTGTCCACCGCTATTCATATTACTGCATAATGAGGTGTCTATCACTATTCATATTACTGTATAGTGTGGTGTCTACAGCTATTCATATTACTCCACAACGTGGTGTCTATCACTATTCATATTACTGTATAGTGTGGTGTCTATCACTATTCATATTACTGTGTAGTGGGGTGTCCACTGCTATTCATATTACTGCACAACGTGGTGTCTATCACTATTCATATTACTGTATAGTGTGGTGTCTATCACTATTCATATTACTGTATAGTGTGGTGTCTACCGCTCTTCATATTACTGTACAGTGTGGTGTCTATCACAATTCATATTACTGTATAGTGGGGTGTCTATCACTATTCATATTACTGTATAGTGTGGTGTCTACAGCTATTCATATAACTGCACAACGTGGTGTCTATCACTATTCATATTACTGTAGAGTGTGGTGTCTACAGCTATTCATATTACTGTATAGTGTGGTGTCTACGGATATTCACATTACTGCACAACGTGGTGTCTATCACTATTCATATTACTGTACAGTGTGGGGTCTATCACTATTCACATACAGTTCTGACGTGAGATTTAAAAAAACCCATTTATTTTCATGACATATAAAAAAATACTAAAAGTCTTTTACTGCCACATTATATACGGTGGCCGAGAGGGAACATCGCTTTATCGACTTCAAATACGGAGGCGACATTGCGAGAAAGCAATAACACGAGTCGAGAAAGCAATAACACGAGTCGAGAAAGCAATAACACGAGTCGAGAAAGCAATAACACGAGTCGAGACCGCCATATTATTTCGCGAGAAACCGATAGAACGATAAACCGATAACCTGATAACGCCAAAAAGCGATATTTCGCATACAATCTGCGAATGATCGAGTGCATAACCTGGGGCGGCTCTGTCGCCATTTGCAACTGTGAGAATTGTTTGAAAACTTATCTAAAAATAAGTCATTCCAAACAAGGTGAGGTTCAACAATAATTATTTATTGTTAATTGTTGCTTTACTTATATTCTTATGTTCGAATGGAAAAGATGACAAATGGGCTCCTATCTGGATGTCATGTTTGTAATCAAAACTTTTATTCATGCATAAAATCACCCAGGGACAATGCGTGTTCGCGTAAATAAAAAAAACACGTAAAAAATTAACCAAGCCAATGCTATATCAATCGGCCCAGAGGCTATCTGTAGAACCACTGCGTCGAGTGTATGTGCAGTGTGTTGAGAAGAGAAGCAACCCTGCACAATCTTTCCCTTGGATGAAGTTGACTGGCCTAAAAAGTGAAACTGAAGGCTTTCTGTTTGTTGCTCAGGACCAGTCACTTCTCACTCGAAACCGCCAATATGTTACTTTGCTTCAAAATGTAAATATGAAATGTAGAATATGCAAATAAATTAATGAGACTGTCCAACACATTGTCAGTGGATGCGTAGCTTTGGCATAAACACAGTATCTTAAGCGACATAGTGGAGTGGCTCGATCCTTCGAGTACCGTATTTTACCACGCTTGTCTTTTGACTCCACGGAACGACCACGAATATGAAGAGGGTGTCATGGAAAAAGATAGATAAAAAATTCTTTGGAATTGGCCCCTATACAACCTAAGCCCTATTCAGGTCAACAAACCTTTTCTTTCCCTTTTTGATAAATCCAATGAAATCATTTATATTATTGAATTTTCTGTCCCTTTTGACACTAATATGATCGACAAGATTCAGGGAAAGCATGGCAAATATGTGGACCTCGCTTTCGAAATGTCACGCTTGCATCCCAAGTACAAAGTTGTCCGACTCCCCATTGTTCTTGAGATGGTACCCCCCAATCTGTTGTCTGACATTGGGATAGTACCCGGGTGTGTTGCCTTGGAATACAGCCCATCTAACAATTTCGGTAACGCAGAGGGCTTCAGTGTTTGGTGAAAAGAGGCATATTTCAAACAAAGTCACTTGGTCATGAAGTGAGTGAGTGAGTATGATTTTACGCCGCTTTTAGCAATATTCCAACAATATCGCGGCGGGGGACACCAGAAATGGGCTTCACACATTGTACCCATGTCGGGAATCGAACCCGGGTCTTCGGCGTGACGACTTGGTCATGAAGACTACATGTACTTCAGCTATGTACTATGTCCTTGTGCAACATGTACTTCAGCTATGTACTATGTACTTGTGCAGCATGTACTTCAGCTATGTACTATGTACTTGTGCAGCATGTACTTCAGCTATGTACTATGTACTTGTGCAACATGTACTTCAGCTATGTACTATGTACTTGTGCAACATGTACTTCAGCTATGTACTATGTACTTGTGCAACATGTACTTCAGCTATGTACTATGTACTTGTGCAACATGTACTTCAGCTATGTACTATGTCCTTGTGCAACATGTACTTCAGCTATGTACTATGTACTTGTGCAACATGTACTTCAGCTATGTACTATGTACTTGTGCAACATGTACTTCAGCTATGTACTATGTACTTGTGCAACATGTACTTCAGCGTGGTGACAGAATCAGTGGCTCAGAAACCCCGAGGAGCCAAGCTGCCGAACACGGTCCAGATCCAAATACTCTCTGCGACCAGGGGCACTCGGGTAGCCTAGTGGTTTCAGCGTTCGCTCGTCACGCCGAACCGAGTTCGATTCCAGAAATGGGTACAATGTGTGAAGCCCATTTCTGGTGTTCCCCGCCGTGATATTGCTAGGATATTGCCACAAGTGGCGTAAAACAAAACACACTCAGCACTCACTCTCCGCGACCAATGTTGCTTAACTGTAGACGATGTGCGCTGTGCACAGGACCACGTGCCGCCACGATTGTTGTTAAAATGTTGCTATAATGAATAAAATATTGTTACATTAATTGACAACTGAAGACAAAATGTGCAGCTGAAGTCAACATACCATGGGCCATGATGAATAGTTGCAGCTGAAGACACATTCCATAGATGTGCAACTTAAGACAAAATGTCGTGGTGATATGTGCAGCTGAAGTCAACACACCATGGTGAATAGTTGCAGCTGAAGACACATTCCATAGATGTGCAACTGAAGACACAATGTCGTAGTGATATGTACAGCTGAAGTCAACACACCATGGTGAATAGTTGCAGCTGAAGACACATTCCATAGATGAGCAACCTAAGACAAAATGTCGTGGTGATATGTGCAGCTGAAGACAAAATGCCATGGGGGTGTTTGCAGCTGAAGGCAAAATGTCGTTGTGATATGTGCAGCTGAAGACAAAATACCAAGGGGGTATGTGCAAATAAAGACAAAATGCCTTGATTTGAGCTACTGAAGACATAAATGCCGTAATATGTGCTACTGAAGACAAAATGCCGTGATATGTGCAACTGAAGACAAAATGCCTTGATATGTGCTACTGAAGACAAAATGCCGTGATATGTGCAACTGAAGACAAAATGCCGTGATATGTGAAACTGAAGACAAAATGCCGCGGGGAACGCAAATGTACTAGAAAGGACCATTATAAACTATTACTAAATAACATATCGAGTGCAGTTAGTGTACTTTGTCTCAGCGAGCTTGTTAATCAGCATCTTGTCAACACAATATTAATAGTCTCGTGAGGGCAGGACAAACTTTAGTCAAGCTTGAAACTAGAAGATCAGATAAGCTCAAATGCTCATAAAACATTTCCATGCTATTGTCGTCATTCAGTCGGGAATTGGGCGGAGTCGGAGTTTCACGATGATAGAAACGTCAGTATTGTTTGTCGTTTTATTGCGCATTAATGGGTATAAATGTGAAGTCAATACGACCCGCTATGGTGTAAACATCAAGTATTGTATACGAATGTCGTGCTCTGACAAGTCCATGCATCTGGGATGTCAGACGCTTCCTGCAGCCAGCAGGCTTAAGGTTCTCGATGATTTACACCAGCAACAATAGAACCGTGCACCCTGAGATGATCACGTCAGATAAACGTCTCGCGAGATCTCGTCTGATCCACCTGGCGGTACATGTGCCAAATGACAAGCGATTGATAAATCAGTTATGAATAACGTCTACACTTTTTGCTGTTGAAAACAAGTTTCATGCAGATGATATTTAAAGTCCTGCTTGGTCATATTTATGAGAAGGGTGAAGGTCACGCGGTTGACGTAAATCAGGAGATTTTTTACTGAAATACTGTCAGGGGTTTTATTCTGACTTTTGATATTCCTTGACAGACCCGGTTCTCGGTAATCCAGGCTCGGTGAAAGGCGCATTTATGATTGCCATCGGTTGTCAAGACAAGTGGCGTGATACGATCTGAACGCCCGTACCAGACTCGGTTACCTTCTGGTATAGGCTGTATATTTCCGATGCTCTAATGTGTGAGGTGAAATGGTGTTTAACGTCGCGTCCAAGATTGCACTTATATAGCGACTGCATGTACGTGTGTCTGTTCGTGTGGCCGTTTGTACTAGTCCGGACTGATGCCGATTTAAAGTGCTAGCTCACTGAGATACCATGCCGCAGTTTAACATGAATACCCCACTCAGACACAGTATACTGACTCCGAGCCGACCAGTCCTTGTTTTAGCCCCTTAATTAACTGAGTTGATTGCACGTCTACCAAGATGGTAGTTGATGGTAGTTGATGATACTTTCAGTCACTGGTGTGACGTGGTCCACTGAATCAATATTCAATTTCAGTTTGCTCTTGCAACTACGATAGAGTGACATTGATAATAAGATACTGTCACCTCACTATCCATGACTGTCGTTTGATATCGTTCTCCCCTTCGTCCTTCTGTCAAGTGGGAAGAAGTCTCCATCACCCCATGCGTGTCGTGAGCGCCGACAAAATCAGGGATCGATTGCTTTTGGTCACTGGTTTGTCAGGCCCAGTATCGATTATCTACAGGTCGCTGCGATTCACCTGTAATACTGCTGATTGTAGCATTAAACAATGTTTGGACGTTATAAATGCATAGAACTCCATATTCTATAAGAATATATTCATAAGATATCATGTCGAGTGTTACGCAGACACATACCCACATATCAGGAAACAGCATTACTACTGACCCGTGAAGATTCCTGGGTAGAATAGGTCTTCAGCAACCCATACTCGCCTTAAAAGGCGACCATGCTTGTCGTAAAAGGCGACTAACGGGATCGGGTGGTCAGGCTCGCTGACTTTGTTGATACATGTCATCGATCCCAATTGCGTAGATCGATGCTCATGATGTCAATCACTGGATTGTCTGGTCCAGACTCGATTATTTACAGACCGCCGTCATATAGCTGGGATATTGCTGAGTGCGGCGTAAAACAATAAACCAACCAACCAACCAGTATCTGCTATGACAAGGACTCCTGTCACAGAACATTTCATAGTATGTCAAAGTTTGTGTGTTTGTTGTTTTACGCCGCACTCAGCAATATTCCAACTGTATGACGGCGGTTGATCGAAAATGATAGTATTTGGCCATGAAACAAAGATGTAATGCATTTACCATATTGTCTGTGATAAGATGTTTTTCCCCATCAGATTGCTCTGTCTATTCCAGCTATTATAGGTCTGCCCTTCTTCGAAGAACGGAGTATCCTGATTGGAGCTTTGGTTGGAGCATTCATCTTTGTCATCGGCCTGATCATCGTCATCATCTTCCTCAAACGGTCAGTTTAACTGGTATACAGTTCAGCACACACTGGGGCAACGTGTACATCGTGACTTGGCTATACTATTTCAGCATACCGTGATTGTCTTGTCACATGTTGTAGATGTAGCATGGGGTAAACTGTTTGGTACAAACCAGAAAGCACGTGCTGCACAGTTATCCATGCGCCGCAATTCGCTTTCCCCTAAACGATCAGGGTTAAATAATCACAGGTTCGAAACCATTCGCTCCGTTCATGTGTTTTGTTTAGTGTTTAACGCCGCACTCAGCAATATTCCATCTATATGACGGCGGTCTGTTAATAATCGAGTCTGGACCAGACAATCCAGTGATTGACATCATGAGCATCGATCCCCGCAATTGGGATACGGTGACATGCATCAACCAAGTCAGCGAGTCTGACCACCAGATCCCGTTAGTCGCCTTTTACGACAAGCATAGTCACCTCTCACGGCAAGTATGGGTTGCTGAAGACCTATTCTGACCCGGTATCTTCACGGGTCGCTCCGTTTATGACCATTGCTATGTTAGCACGTTGGGTACCTAAACTTGAAAAACGTTAGTATAATTCAAAGCAGGTATAGACACAATTCACTATTACCTGTCCTGATAACTGTTTCCCCTCTGTTCCAGTCGACACAAGCCTGTGTACTCCTGTCGCGAGGCTGAAAGGAGGTATGTACGACGGTTCCCGGGTTACCTGCATATCCACAATCAGTCACCACGTCACGTAGCTCTGGACCCTTCGTCTCTGACAACCATCGCCAGTGTAGATATTTGATGGACGTGCCGGTTTATATCGCCCGCCACGAAGTGGAAGGCGAATGTAGCAGTGAATGCCGTCCGTCCTTCTTTCCACCCCTTCGTCTTTCCCGCCCGTCCGTCACGTTTCGTTTCCAGAGCAGAACTAAAATTATATTTTCCAAACTTGGCACATAGACAGGTCTAGTGGTGAACTGGTGCCTTTTGATTGTTAAGGATTTTTGAAAAAAAATTTTTTTTCGAGTTTCCATTGCAACGACTAAAAATGGCGGTAGGGAGGATATGGATGGATGATGCCTTGCACTCAACCGGACATGCAGGGGATATGAGTATTTCAAGCTTGTTTCATATTTAGTAAATTGTGATTTTTTTTAAGAGTGATCATCACCTTAGCAAAAAATATCACTTACCCTTTCCGCTTAATGCATCTAATTTGGGGATGCTATTTGTGTATGAAGCGTGATCGCAAAAGCTCAGTCACCTCATTGGTACTTTTGTTTTCGTCCTCAAGCCTCGTTTTTGTTACCTCCTCGATCCTCACCCAAGCAAAAGTGAACGTTTCTTCCACAGGAGAAAAGGACCCGAGCATCCGACGGAAGCGACCAAAGCTCCGGAAATTAGCCCAACACCCATTGTGGGCATGACGTCATCACCGGTTGTAGTCAGAAGGAGCGCGAGGTTGTTGAGGTCGCGACTGGATATGTCTTACGTGGAGGATGGTAAGAAGCATGTCAAAAGTTGGACTACACCCAGTGAAGAAATGTAAAAACTCCATGAAGATGTGAACACACAATGCCATTTAGAAAGTGGTCAAATGTCACAAATGTTTTATTTGGGATAACGCTTTCTTAGTAAAGTACAGGGACGGTGGGGAAGCCTAGTGGTTAAAGCGTTCGCTCGTCTCGCCGAAGACCCGGGTTCGATTCCGTATATGGGTACAATTTGTGAAACCAATTTGCGGTGTTCCCTCGCCGTGATATTGCTGGAATTTTGCTAAAAGCGGCGTAAAACCATACTCACTCATTCACTCACTAGTAAAGTACAGATTCTGTTTTGGGTTGATTACCATCCAGGATTCGAACCCACGCTACCAGAGTGAGGAACCTTATCGCCAGCACCCAAAGTCAGCACAAAATATCTAACCCACTTAGTCACCTAGGCTTCCACAAAACAAAAGTCCGACAACTTGTAGTCTAGATCAGTATTTTGTGTACCCCTCTGAGAAATAGAAATTAGCACGTCTCCCATGGCCGAAGGTATGATTGGTTGGTTGGTTGGTTTGCTGTTTTACGCCGCACTCAGCAATATTCCATCTATATGACGGCGGTCTGTAAATAATCGAGTCTGGACCAGACAATCCAGTGATTACTATCATGAGCATCGATCCCCGCAATTGGGATCGATGACATGCATCAACCAAGTCAGCGAGCCTGACCATCCCATCCCGTTTGTCGCCTTTTACGACAAGCATAGTCACCTTTTACGGCAAGCATGGGTTGCTGAAGACCTATTCTAACCCAGAATCTTCACGGATCCCAAATATAACATTTCTTCCATTAAGTTGGTCCTGAAAGTAAGTCCTTTCAACTGATGCACCAATATTCGGTTTTAGTCTTTGTACTCAGAGCGGCGACTGGTCTAGAGTATGTGTAGGAATCAGAGACATTGCAGGAGTATTGCTAAGTACGGCATTCACTCACTCATTCACTCTGTCTTCTGTGACCCTCAGATGACCTGACAGGGGATGAGGAAGCACTGGTGCCCCCGGCTGCTGACCCTGACGCCAAGATGGAATACTACAACCTGGACGTGGACAAGTCGGCGGCGACTGCGGTGCGGGTGGCGGACTTCCCTGCTTACATGGACAAGTGGCGGAGCAACAAATACCACTTCCAGCATCGCTTTCTGGTGGGTGGCGGCATGTTTGTGTGTGTGTGTGTGTGTGTGTGTGTCTGTGTGTGTGTGTGTGTGTGTGTTTGTGTGTGTTTGTATGTGTGTGTGTGTATGTGTGTGTGTGTCTCTCTGTGTGTGTCTCTCTTTGTGTCTCTGTGTGTGTGTCTGTGTGTGTATCTCTCTGTGTGTGTCTGTGTGTCTGTGTGTGTGATAAATTAGATATTGTCAAATACAATCAAAACATCTCAAGAGAACAAAAAAAATTAATTGAAGTTTAGACGTGAAACTGAAAATGATTTTTTTCATTTTGGCTGCGATCTCATATTTCAGAGATATATTCGGAATGTTATTGTTCATATGCTGTTAAGAGGTGATTACCAATTTTTTTATTGCGCCTTCTGGTATGTGCAAAGGTTAAATATAACCCATAAATGGGTACCTACAGAATTAAACTGTGAACATCAGAAAATGACAACATAAGATCAAGTAATAATCAACAAATTACACACAGTTTTAGGTTTACAATAAATAAGGCAATACCATGGGGCCAGTTAAGACACAGCAATTGGTAACAGTCCACTGTTCGTCACTGTCAAATGTTTTGAAACAGTCCTGTATCCGTTCTTAAATGCGAAATAGTGTTGGAAGCTGGCAGGATTTCGACGTTTTGAGTTAGGTATCCAAGCCTCCATTGCCCAATAGATAATGTGCAAGTCAGTTCGAAAAACTGGTTGCCCTCTTACTGCTCATATATACATGTACGTACTGCCAGCCTTCTAGAAACTGCTCCATCCTAAGGCTTCTCGAACGATCAAGCCCTCTATGTTCATGTTTACACAAAGGCGGAAAACTCATTAATTACTCTCGCTGTCGCTGTCAGTCGCTAAATTCTAGCCATGTCAGCCCTCGACATTTTACTAGCCCTTCAATCATCCAGCTGCCACTGAATAAGTACAGACATATTTACAACAGTCCGCTAAAAACATGATATATACTCAAGCACGACTATATTACAGAAACTGCCCCGGGATTACATTGTGTCTTGTGACGTAGCCAGCGCCGACGTCAACCGCCACAAGAACAGATACCTCAACATCCTGCCCTGTAAGTATTGAGTGGTGTTCTCAGATCGCCCCGACTGGGGTCCTTGGTTTTATAGGATAATACCATCGCTAACGTGCTTCATCAGTGGGCAAACGTTCACATTGGTCACTTTGTGAAGAGTGAGTTTGGTTTAACGCCACTTTGAACGCTATTTCAGTTACAAGACGGCGGGTCAGCTAAATGTTAGGAGAAAGTCCGACGAGATGCAGGTCTCTGTCGTGCATCGCTTTGATGGAATAAAGCCACAAAACCCTCTCCATATCTATTCAAAATATCTGCGTAAAGCGTAAAGTCGATTGTACGATTCCGACCATATCATTAGCGTGCGTTTATGAATCACTTTCAAATAGTGATGATACCAGGTGTTCGCGAAAAGGTGAGCGTATCCTGCCCGGTCGGTGGTCCCCGAATTGTTTTTGTTGTTGCCGTCAATCACAAACACACGCAAAGGCAAGTCACTTGAAACAAAACATGGGAACAATTGTTACACGAGCACGGGTATGGTGCTTACAAATCAAAATTATCATCTGGGCAAAACTGTTATTCGAACCCATGATCACTGCGATCGACAACACTGAAACTCAGACATTTGCAGAATAGTTTAAAGTGTTCTTTAACGTTTCAGTTCTATCTCACCCACCTCTCATGATATTTGAAAGACCCACATGTAATGTCTGCCTCAATTTATATCACCAGATGATCACTGTCGTGTTGTCTTGGACGTCGTAGACGGTGACCCGACATCAGATTACATCAACGCCTCTCATATCCTGGTGAGCTGCTCGGACTGTGTGGTGGGAAGTCGAGGGCCGGGGGGCGGGGTGGTTGATATCAGAGAGATACTGGCTAGTCATCACCATGGTGACTATCACAGAGTATTGAATATCAAACGTGCACGAAATGCTAACCAGTGCCTGTAAACAATGCATGCGTAATCATTTTATGAATTGGACATGTAGAAGACAAAATATGCAGTAACAGCCTTTAACAGAGCGCTTACTGTTCCAGAGCTACAACAAGAAAGCAAGTTACATCGCATCACAAGGTAAGAACGTATTCTGATGTGTTGGGACCCGTGAAGATCCGGGGTAGAATTGGTCTTTAGCAACCCATGCTTGTCGTCAAAGGCGACTATGCTTGTCGTAAGAGGCGACTAACGGGATCGGGTGATCTGACTCTCTGACTTGGTTGATGCATGTCATCGATCCCAATTACGTGGATCGATGCTCATGATATCAAACAGTGGATTGTCTGCTCCAGACTCGTTTATTTACAGACCGCCGCCATATAGCTGGAATATTGCTGAGTGCGGCTTTAAACTACAAACAACCAAACAAATCTGTCTTGGAAATCCTTTAATCGACTATGAGCATTGGTGGTCTGTTTAAAATGTATTAAAAGCTATACACTCTAGTTTGGTGTGTCTGACTAGCGGGTATGTTTCAGGGCCTAACAAGGCAATCCTTGCAGACTTTGTCCGGATGATCTGGGAGAAGAAGGTGACGACCATTGTGATGCTAACAAACCTGGTGGAGGAGGGCAGGGTATGTGATCAGCACAGTGCTCTCTGTTTCTCGTTATGATTCTATTCCTTGATCGTCCTTCCCTGTGTACTACCGACCATCTTCTTAAGCTCAGTGACATAGCAACGACAGTTCAGGACATCGCGCTACTTTATATCTTTCCTTATGCTGTCGGCTCGTGTGAACTGCATTCGATGCCATGCATTGGTCAGAGTCGGGGGATTAACCCAGCTTCTTGTTCTTCAGAGGAAGTGCGAAGCCTACTGGAACTGTGAGGAGGATCTGCTTCTCGGAGACATCACTGTGACCGTGGTGCATGAGGACACCAGAGCTCACTACACTGCCAGGACTCTGAAGATGTCGAAGGCAGGTTGCCATATCATTTAGAGGCGTGATTATGACGCCACATTGATACCACAATAATCGCCATAGTATTTCTGCCGATAACTGTATCGATGCATTTTTACCTCTATCGATCCATCATCGATAAATACATATTAATATATAACACAGTAATAACATCGACGGTATCCCTGTCAAAAATGTCTAGGTTTTGCTCTAAACATTGACAGGAATTTGCCATCTGGACGCCGCCATGTTTTAAGGTTGCAATGCAGCGTAAAAGTCTCGCAGCCAACCAGACTGAAAAAAAATCACACTCCGGCACAGTTATGACTTGGCATTGCATCAATCTGAAAACCTATTAGTCGTCAGTCCCGTCACTCTGAATTTTGTCTAAGTCTGACTCTGATTGACTTTGTCAGTTGACAGCTTGACTGTTTATAATTGTTGAGTTCAATAAAATCAGTCATGCAGGAAATGTTATGACTCGAATATTGATCATACGATAACAAATGTACAACTGTACTGAGTAGCGAACTAACTTAAGTTAGAATGATGTTGTTTGCACCTCCCTGATGCCAATAATACAGGATGCTTATGTTCCTCAACTGGTCTTTCTCTTCAGCTCAATAGCCCATCAAGGACGGTCACCCAGCTTCACTTCACGGCCTGGCCCGACAAAGGAGTGCCACAGTCAGCGTGGTCGCTAGTTTACTTCCGTCACAAGGTCAAGGTCGCAGTTGGGGAGTCAGAAGGCCCGGTTCTTGTCCACTGCAGGTAATTAACCCAATATACCTGTACATCAAGCATTGTTCAGCCACCAAGCATTGTGCATCAGGCATAATGATTGTAATCAGCCATTGTATATCAAGCATTGTTCAGCCACCAAGCGTTATACATCAAGCACTGTGCATCAAGCATTGTACATCAAGCATTGTACGTCAAGCATTGTACATCAAGCATTGTACATCAAGCATTGTATATCAAGCATTGTACATTAAGCATTGTATATCAAGCGTTGTACATCAAGCATTGTATATCAAGCGTTATACATCAAACATTGTAATGTATATCAAGCGTTATACATCAAGCACTGTACATCAAGCATTGTACACAAGCATTGTACATAAAAAATTGTACATCAAACACACTAAGTGAAGCACTGCACATAAAATATAGTTTTACTACAGCAAAAGAAGGCACATACAGGTTAAAAACTGTTTATACATGTACGCAATGGATAGATGTGAGGAATTGTCTTATGAAAATCTTTCTACATATACAAAGTTAGAAATGGCTACATTTATTAAAAATGGATATGATTTGTATCTCACATAGATATATTTATTTACACTTGTAGTATATGTATATGTTCACACACCCATTCAACAGCGTCGTAATAAGTAATTTCTGATGATAAACATCTGTTCTGTTCCGCTCAGGCCTCTAACCTAACTGTCATTCCAGTGCTGGCGTGGGACGAACTGGGACGTTTATCGCTCTGGAGAATTTGCTTGAGGAGGCGGCCCTTGATGATGATGTAGACGTCTTTGTCGTTGCTTGGAAGCTCCGTCAGCAGAGAGTGAACATGGTTCAGACACTGGTAGGTTCAGACAGCCAGGTACACACTTGTTGTCAGAGTTCAAGCACATGGTTCCACAATGAAAAATACAGTTTCCATGATTGTAATAATTATAATGAGTTTTAGCAGCCATTAACCCCTATGATTCTGACATGAACGGAGTCCCGTGTTTCCACATATATAACACTCCCTTTTTCTATTTGAAATATAAACGCCGTTCATGTGTTTCTTCATCTGGAGTTAAAGTTCTAATGTATCTTTTTATCAACCAAACAAACGTCTCTCGATATACAAAAGAACAGGAGTGAAATGTGACGGCATGTGCGAGAGCAAACAGGACAGACAATAGCATTATTGTTATCAGAGCTTCTGATTCCCGTGGTGATTGTTCAGGTAAACCCAAGTATCATTTTGACTGACTTGTCCCCAGGATCAGTTCGTCTTTCTGCACGAGGCACTCTTGGCGGCTTTGGTCGCCGGCAGCAGCTATCTCACTCCGGCTACATTACTTGACCAGTTCCATATCATCACATCAGAATGTGCACACAAAGAGTTCAAGGTAAACGCTTCACTCTCGCTCCATATTGTTATCAGAGGACACTCAATGATGATGATGATAATAATAATAATAATAATAATAATAATAATAATAATAATAATAAAAATAAAAATAAAAATACTAATACTACTAATAATAATAAATTAAAGCAGAAGGCTTTCTGTTTGCTGCCCAGGACTTCCCACTCGAAACCGTCAAGGTGTGATTTTGCATCAAAATGTAAATATTAAATGTAGATTATGTAATGAATCTAATGATTTGTTTGTTTGTTTCTTGTGTAACGCCGCACTCAGCAATATTCCAGCTATATGACGGCGGTCTGTAAAATAATCGAGTCTGGACCAGACAACCCAGTGATTGACATCATGAGCATCGATCCACGCAATTGGAATCGATGACATGCATCAACCAAGTCAGCGAGCCTGACCACCCGAATCGCCTTTTACGACAAGCATGGTCGCCTTTTACGGCAAGAATTGGTTGCTGAAGACCTATTCTACCCCGGAATCTTCACGGGTCGAGACTGTCCAACACATTGTCAGTGGATGCCTAGCTTTGGCAGAAACACAATATATTAAGCGACACGATGGAGTGGCTCGATCATTTTATTACCGCCTTCGCAATACTTATGATTTTGACGCAGAGATCCATCCATGGTACGACCCAGAATATGCAGAGGGTGTGATGGAAAATGATAAATCCAAAATTCTTTGGGATAGATGCGTATACAGCCTCAGACGTATCCAGACCAACAAACCTGATCTTGTCCTTTTTGATAAATCCAATGAAATCATTTATATCATTGAATTTTCTGCCCCCTTTGACACTAATGTGATTGACAAGATTAAGGAAAAACATGGCTGCAGTGTTGGGGAGTCTTCACATTCTCCGAAGAGCTCTGGGTTGGTTTGACTAGGCAGCGTTTCCTGGGAGAAGTCCCATTCGCTGTCTCGGCTGCGTGTAGAGGGGGCCAGGGCCATGAGCTGACGAAGAGCCTAATCAGCTTGACTGTGCCAGGATCACACAAACCCTCTTTGCTGCATTTTTTATTTTAATCTGATAATAATAATAATAATAATAATAATAATAATAATAATAATAATGAGCCAAAACCCTTTCCATATCCTATAGAAATCTCTGCAAAGAGCAGAGTCGACTTTTGTACGATTCCGACTATATCATAAGCATGTGTAACGCCAAGCGAACTGACTGTTCGCGGTGTATACGTTGGATTAATCATATTTGACTAAAATGGATGAGGCTGAAACTGGACACGTTTTCGTGAGCAGGTAAAGAGAAGAGATTACAAACAGAATGTTTATAAGAAGAAGAAATATCAGGCCTCGCAGTGGTGGTCTTTTACGTATGAACGATTCACGAAAGAATGGTCGTGGTCGTTTAGAAATGATATTAGATCCATTAGGAATATGTCAGAATCCTTTAATGAACACGATGTCAATTTTTACAACTCGTGAAAGGAAATATATATGTCACGCTGTATAACAATGCATTTCCAAAGAAGTGTCAGTATTGCTCTTAGTTACAACCATTATCAGAACAGAACAGAACAGAACAGAAGTTTATTCAATATTTTAGGCCATATGACCTATAGTACAGTAGTGTTTGTTTTTTGTATCAACATTTTACAGTCACGTGTAGGTAATAATAAGTTTACATAAAATATTAACGTCTAATTTCAAAAATCTTCTTCAGGAATATTGACAGAGATGATATTGTATTTGCATTGCAGGAGTTCAACAAATTTCTCATCAGTTGTTCATCTTTGTACATAGTTGAAATCATAGGGAGGTATCTATTTCTAAGAAACTGATAATATTTACAAATGAGAAGTACATGAAACTCATCCTCAACATAGCCTTCATTACAATAACGGCATAAACTACTTTCTTTATCTTGTACATTTTTCTTTCTGAGATTGTTAACATTAAAATTATGTAATGATATACGTAATTTACACAAAGATCTTCTCAAAGTTCTATCCTGAAGTACAGATACATATTTTTCAGGAACAAGTAAAGATTTTATATTCGTATAATGGCATAAAAACCTTGAGGATGATATTTGACAGTGCCAATCTTGTGAAAATATATCAACTAATCTTTCCTTAAGCATGAAGATAAATAGTTTATCATTTCCAACATCTTGAGATATCCATGCAAGAGAAAAACCAGACATACAAAGAATATTTCTGATATCAGACACCCATAAACAATATTTACCCTTTTCATCCAAGGCTTTTAACATATTATAACAATGAAGAGGAAATCTATTTGTATTCATACGAAGTAGCTTTATCCAATATTTAACTGCCCGTAGCTGGGATGAAACAAAAAGACTGGTACGACCAGTTTCTCCTAGAATGGCTTTGTTAGAGGCATATTTACCGACACCTAAAAAACGTTTAAAGTACATGGCATGATTTTTTTCTATGGAATCATTATAATGACATCCCCATATTTCTGAACCATACAGCAGAATTGGTGCTATTTTTCTGTAAAAAATGTCCGAAACAACTCGGAAAGATATAAATTTGTTTTCTTTGAAAACTCGATAGAGAGGAATCAAGGCTTTAGATGCTTGCAGAGCCAACTGCTTACAAGCTGTTGACCATGCTAATCGAGAAGATACAGTCAATCCTAAATATTTATAATATGAAACAATATTGACTGTCTTATTACAATACGTCCATTTTTCAAATTTATGTAGAATACCACCTTTTCTGAAAACAATAACATTTGTCTTTTTCAAATTTACTTCAAGGCCCCATTTCTCACAATATAGCTGGAGAACATTTAACTGTTTCTGGAGGCCACTAACTGAAAATGATAATAAAGCAATATCATCAGCAAATAGTAACAGCATTATATCAATTATATCTTGTGACACAAAAACTCCGTAATCACATTCATGATACATTTCAGTTACAAGTTCATTTATGAAAAATATAAATAGGACAGGGCTGAGTACACAGCCCTGTCTTACACCAGCTGAAGTTCTGAAACATTCAGTGATTCCTTTATCTGTCTTGATACATGCCTTAACTGATGAGTACATGCTCTGTAGAACGTTTGACAATTTGCCTGTTAATCCTTTAATAATTAATAAAAACATCATTTTCTTTCTATCCACATAGTCAAAAGACTTTTTGAAATCGATAAAGGCACAATAAAAACGGCCCTTGGGTTTGATAAGATATTTTGTACACAAAGATTGAAGAATAAATATATTGTCTGATGGAGAATAGTTGGGTCTAAATCCAGCTTGGGATTCTGATAACAGGTCATTCACATCTAACCATGTTCTAATACGTTTTTCAATTACAACAGAAAACAATTTGCCAGTCACATTTAAGAGAGAAATACCTCGGTAGTTGCTTGGATCAGATATGTTTCCAGATTTATGTAGAGAAATAATCATTCCTATATTCCAGGAATCTGGAAAAACACCAGTATCTAGAATTTTATTAAAAAGCTGCCTAAGATACGGGTTTATGAAGTTTGTTATACTTTTCATATATTCAGGGGGTATACCATCCTCACCGGCTGCTTTACCCACTTTTAACCCATTTAAAGCTTGTTTAATTTCATTTTCAGTAATTTCACCTGATAAGAGCTGGTCAGTAAAAGGCATATAATTACAATGTTGACATGAATGGGAATCTAAAAAATCCTGAACTGATTTATCAAATTCATTTACATCTCTGTTAAAATCTGGATTTAATAAATTCTTAAAATATCTAAACCAAGTGTCAGGGGTTATATCACCTTGTCGTGCGTTACTTCTCAAATAGTGCTTTATAGTATTCCAGAACTCTTTACAATCACTCATATTTGCAGCCTCGGTTAATTTTTTACTCATATGTATTTTATACTCATTTTGTTTAGTTTTACACTTTTTTCTGAATTCAGTTTTTGCACATCAATAGTCTTTTAAGTTTACAACCATTATCATGAGAAATCGTGACGTCATTCCGTAGGACCTGAAGACCTGTCCTACGGTGACGTCAGAGAAAGAGTTCATCTCCGCCAAGGCAGCCGAGAACAGGCGCAAAAACAGATACTACAACATCCTCCCGCGTGAGTTCTACATCACCACATCTCAAGATGTATTCATAAGCAACGTACTTTATACATTAACACATGTCATGTTTCAAACAGCAATATATCTCAGGGGATATATACTGTATGGACCAGGGGATGTATACTTTATTGACCAGGGGATGTATACAGTAATGACCAGGGGATGTATACTGTATAGACCAGGGGATGTATACTGTATGGACCAGGGGATGTATACTGTATGGACCTTGGGATGTATACTGTATGGACCAGGGGATGTATACTGTATGGACCAGGGGATGTATACTGTATGGACCTGGGGATGTATACTGTATGGACCTGGGGATGTATACTTTATCGACCTGGGCATGTATACTGTTCGGACCAGGGGATGTATATTGTATGGACCAGGGGATGTATACTGTATGGACCAGGGGATGTATACTGTATGGACCAGGGAATGTATACTGTATGGACCAGGGGATGTATACTGTACGGACCAGGCGATGTATACTGTATGGACCAGGGGATGTATACTGTATGGACCAGGGCATGTATACTGTATGGACCAAGGGATGTATACTGTACGGACCTGGGAATGTATACTGTATGGACCAAGGAATGTATACTGTATGGACCAGGGCATGTATACTGTATGGACCAAGGGATGTATACTGTACGGACCTGGGAATGTATACTGTATGGACCAAGGGATGTATACTGTATGGACCTGGGGATGTTTACTGTATGGACCAGATGATGTATACTGTACGGACCTAGGGATGTATACTGTATGGACCAGGGGATGTATACTGTATGGACCTGGGGATGTATACTGTACGGATCTGGGGATGTATACTGTACAAACCTAGGGATGTATACTGTATGGACCAGGGGATGTATACTGTATGGACCAGGGGATGTATACTGTACGGACCAGGGGATGTATACTGTATGGACCAGGGGATGTATACTGTAAGTACCAGGGGATGTATACCGTATAGACCAGGGGATGTATACTGTATGGACCAGGGGATGTATATTGTATGGACCTGGGGATGTATACTGTATGGGCCTGGGGATGTATACTGTACGGACAAGAGGATGTATATTGTATGGACCTGGGGATGAATACTGTATGGACCTGGAGATGTATACTGTACAGACCAGAGGATGCATACTGTATGGACCAGGTGATGTATACTTTATGGACCTGGGCATGTATACTGTATGGACCAGAGGATGTATACTGTATGGACCAGGGGATGTATACCGTATAGACCAGGCGATGTATACTGTATGGACCAGGGGATGTATATTGTATGGACCAGGGGATGTATACTGTATGGGCCTGGGGATGTATACTGTAAGGACAAGAGGATGTATATTGTATGGACCTGGGGATGTATACTGTATGGGCCTGGAGCTTTATACTGTACAGACCAGAGGATGCATACTGTATTGACCAGGGGATGTATACTGTATGGACCAAAGGATGCATGTTGTATGGACCAGGGGATGTATACTGTATTGACCAAATGATGTATACTGTATGGACCAGGAAATGTATACTGTATGGACCAGAGGATATATACTGTATGGACCGGGGGATGTATACTGTATGGACCAGGGGATGTATACTGTACGGACCAAGGGATGTATACTGTACGGATCTGGGGATGTATACTGTACGGACCTAGTGATGTATACTGTATGGACCAGGGGATGTTTACTGTATGGACCAGGGAATGTATACTGTATGGATCTGGGGATGTATACTGTATGGACCTGGGGATGTTTACTGTATGGACCAGATGATGTATACTGTACGGACCTAGGGATGTATACTGTATGGACCAGGGGATGTATACTGTATGGACCTGGGGATGTATACTGTACGGACCTGGGGATGTATACTGTATGGACCAGGGGATGTTTATTGTATGGACCAGGGGATGTATACCGTATGGACCAGGGGATGTATATTGTATGGACCAGGGTATGTATATTGTATGGACCAGGGGATGTATATTGTATGGACCAGGGGATGTATACTGTATGGACCAGGGGATGTATATTGTATGGACAAGAGGATGTATACTGTATGGACCAGGGGATGTATATTGTATGGACCTGGGGATGTATACTGTACGGACCTGGGGATGTATACTGTACAGACCAGGGGATGTATACTGTATGGACCAGGTGATGTATACTGTATGGACCAGGGGATGTATACTGTATGGACCAAGGGATGTATACTGTACGGACCTGGGAATGTATACTGTACGGATCTGGGGATGTATACTGTACGGACCTAGGGATGTATACTGTATGGACCATGGGATGTATACTGTATGGACCAGGGGATGTATATTGTATGGACCTGGGGATGTATACTGTACGGACCTGGGGATGTATACCGTATGGATATGGGTATGTATACTGTATTGACCAGGGGATGTATACTGTATGGACCAGAGGATGTGTACTGTATGGACCAGGGGATGTATACTGTATGGACCCATGGATTTATACTCACAATGTCACCCTCTTATATCCAGCCGTACCCAGATAGTGACATATAGCATCTTCATCTGTTTCTTTTTGTTCCTGACTCAAGTCGACTCATACCGGCCACATCTACACACCGACGTCAACGACGCAGGCAACGACTACATCAATGCAGTGCTTATGCCAGTGAGTAGGACACCGGTCCCCCGGTATTTCTGTATTGGTATTATGCGGCTTTTTTGTAAGTTTTAAGTGAATGAGTGCAGTCTTACGTGTCTGCAAATCGTCGAGCCTGGTCTTGTAAAACGCAACATGTATAGGTCTGTGTATGTGGCTGTTCGGAGCCTGCTGAGAAGTTGATGGGATTCACTGTTTACGTGGCATATTGAATTGACCCATGCGACCAAAGTTGGTTATTCTTGTAATAAGCTTTTGAAATTATTCATACGTGCATTCCAATTCTTTGTTATGAGATAAATGCCGAATATCAACACCATGAATCAGATTATTACACCGTGAGGCATATTAACCAATTATATGACAATCCATCACCGTGCTACAATGTACATATAGCTGCTGATTGAGTGAGCTGACACCCCTGCTGGGATGAGGATATCTCTCATCCCATAGCCAGCTGGACAATACAACAGTATTTACTCTGTGAAACTTCATGAGCATTCATTCAATAGTGACAGATATTTCAACCCGCTTCATTATTCATTATCCAACGCTATCTAATTCTCCCTTTGTTGGGGGTCACGTTTGAGCGAATTTACCTTTGTATGCTCGAGTGGTATTTTGGATTTTATCACTTGGACCTAGCACGGCTAAAAGATGCAACTACTTGAATTCGAACCGAATAACGACATGATGGACGACTGTACCAATCGTATTCTTCTCAAGCTTGAAATCGAGGCACACGAAGGAACCGACCCTTTTATATTCTGAGTGTGTGTGTATGTGTGTGTGTGTGTGGGGGGGGGGGGGTAGGGATATTGTCAGGAGATTAGATATGTATTCATCTATAGCCGCAAAACCAGATTTTTCAAATTAGAACTTTGAGCTTGAAATATTTTTTTAAAGAAAAGCCCATCTGGCACAAATGTATTTTGTCCGGCAACAGTCTGAAGCATAATTATTGTTTTCAAAAAAATCCAAGCCGATAAACTTCCGTCACTCGCACGCACGCACGCACGCACGCACGCACGCACGCACGCACGCACGCACGCACGCACGCACGCACGCACGCACGCACGCACGCACGCACGCACGCACGCACGCACGCACGCACGCACACACACACACACACACCACACCTCCCTAAGGTAAGAACCAGAGCATAGTTCCCCATCTCCCGGGAAGATACCGAGCATTTTAAGGCCAAGAATACGATATGGTTGGCACCTTATTATAGGAGTCGAGATAATGTCAAGGTACAGTCTTATAAGGGCTGCATCTGTGCTTTGTCTCCTTTGACATCGACAGTATAATATAGTTTAAACGATGGAGTAAATGAACGTTGACAGTATATAGATCATATGTACTCTGTCCACGTGTAATTATCTTTGTTACAGTCATTTCGTCACCCCCGGGGACTACTCGTGACACAGACCCCTCTCCCACACACAGTACTGGACTTCTGGCGCCTCGTGTACGACCATGGCGTCAGTCTCATCATCATGATCGACAACATCAACGACGACCAAGATGTAGAGGTGATAAGAGGCAGATATTCCTAACACCGATGATACCATATAAGCAACTGGCATCTTTATGTTTAGAGTCTGCCATTGCAAGGTCAGAAATTGGGAAGTTGTATTTCCGTTCATATATGAAACTACTTTCGCTTACACGTTTTGTTTCGGACGTGTTGAGTTTGTCGTACATGTGCATTTTGACCCTGCGGCAAATATCCATTCTCGGAATGGGAAGCTTAGTCGAAGGAGCATCTACGTTGAGTATTGTCCCGCTAGTACCTCTGTACCTCTGCCTCAAAGAGTGAGGTTGTGACAACCACTAAACTCAATTATAACGGAACATGTAATCTATATTAATCTATATAATTCATGATTCACTGGTCGCCAAGTTTTCTGAGGCGCTGCGAATCGCTGTTTTGAGTTGCGTCATTTGGACATCCCGGTTCGCCTCGATTATGTTTCCAGGTGTGTTAGCACCATACCAGTGCTCGTGGGTTTCATCAAAGTGGTAAACGTCTGCATCCCTTTGGGCTTTCCTCCCACATTAAGCTGACACGCTGTTATGTAACTGGAGATGAGGTGAGGTGAATCGTGGGGTTTAACGTCGCGTCCAAGATTATTGCACTTATATAGCGACGTGCACGCACTTGTATGTATGTGTGTGGCTGCTTGTACTAGTCCGGACTGATGCCGATTTATAGTGCTAGCACACTGAGATACCATGCCGCAGTTTAACATGAATGCCCCACTCAGACTAAGTATACTGACTCCGAGCCGACCAGTCCTTGTTTTAGCCCCTAAATGCCGAGCGCCAGACAGGGTAACAACAAGTACCATCTTTTAACGTCTTTTGGTATGACGCGGTCGGGAATCGAACCCCGGACCTTCCGCTCTCCGGGCGGACGCTCTGCCACTAGACCACGGAGGCGGTTTATGTAACTGGAAGACTGTTCAAAGCCGCGTTAAACCCAACTTACTCAGTGACTCATGATTCATACGTTCATTTTATCAAGATATATTATGAATGTTCTGGTCGTACACGCATCTTTAAGTATTAAAATGGTCGGTATTTATCCGGGATAAAACAAGTGTAAATGGAATTGGGTTGTGTGTAGGATTTTGGAGTCTACTGGCCCGAGCACGGCGAGACGATGGAGATTGGGCCGTTCCTGGTGTCGTCTGTGTCGGATGAGGAGGAGGAGGGACTGTGTGTCCGGAATTTGCATCTTGTGAAGACAAAGGTAACCAATTGCTCCATAAAAATATATTTTGGTGTTTATATTATGCATAATTTTTGCGTAATAAAGTGGCATGTGTATTCTGCTCTATGCGACAAGGCTGAGCTAAGTCGTTATAACTGCACAAATAACTATAGTGGTCCTGTGTAGTCTGCTCTATATGCTAGTACTGAACGCAGTCTTTATAACTCCACTCTACCCAGTTATAAGATAGCTACGCGATTAATCGCAAAGAGCAATGAAGAATGAAACGTGGATTATTTCACGATAAAACATTGTTCTATCGTGGCGTCATTTCCTGAGATTCGAATATGTGCTCGCAACTTGTTGACGTCATATAATGGACGGCGTTGTTTTTAGATGGACATGGCAAGTGAGTTGTTACCCATAGATGTAGCTGGGCAATGCAGATAAACGCAATGGCCGAACGATCGCATCCAAGAATGATAGATATATGGCAATCGTGTATTAGGAGAAAAGGTACAGATGATCGACGTCACGATTGTTAGAATATGTGGGAAATACCAAACTTAACCCACCTGTGCGTAAAATGGACTTGTCCGACATTTCCGGGGTTGGATTCTATTCAGGGAGGCATCAATATTAAAATTTGGGTAAATATTGTCAAAGCTTGTACATTTTATCAACATCCTTAAAGAGGCTGTACATGATGTTGATATGTCATATAAGAAATAAACGACTCATGGTCGATGTTTATCATATAATAAAACACTGCAGAGATAATAAACCACTCGGAGTGCGCCCCTTATGGTTTATTCTCCCTGCAGTGTTTTATTGTACAGTAAACAGCTCCCACTCGTGGTTTATTTCTTAAATAACTGCAATGGGTCTGTGTATTATGCTGAACGAGGCACAACTCGTCGCTAATTATAACTGTTCCATACATAACTGAAGGACCCGTGAAGATCCGGATTAGAATACGCCTTCAGCAACCCATGCTTGCCGTAAAAGGCGACTATGCTTGTCGTAAGAGGCGACTAACGGGATCGGGTGGTCAGGCTCGATGACTTGGTTTGAATATGCATGTCATTGTATCCCAATTGCGTGGATCGATGCTCATGATATCAATCACTGGATTGTCTAGTCCAGACTCGACTATATACAGACCGCCGTCATATAGCTGGAATATTACTGAGGGCGGCGAACAACAAACAAACAAACATAACTGAAGTATCCCTGTGTATTCTGCTCTAACGTTGGTACTGAGTGACGTCATTATAACTGCACGAGATATATAACTGAAGTTGGCGTGTGTATTCTGCTACATTGGACTGCTGTAATGCGCCGCTATACCCATCTGTATTGCCAGGCTGGTGAGAAGACACGGGTACTACGTCAGTTTCACTGCATGGACTGGCCAGACACTTGTGATCTCCCGCCATATGACGTCATCAAATCCTGTGTAGATGCTGTGAGAGTGGAAGGCGCCAAACAGCCCCTGGACCCCGTCTTAGTTCACTGCAGGTACATTGAGGCAGGCTGCTTGTGTGTGCTTGTGTATCTTTGTGTGTGTGTGTGTGCGTGTGCGTGCGTGCGTGCGCGCGCGTGTGTATCTGTGTGTACACATACTCCCTGTCGGGTTGGCAGGGACACTGGGAGAAGCAATGTTACCACGTACAGCTGGTTCTATAGAGAGTATGTGTATTGTCGTGTTGGCAGGGACACTGGGAGAAGCAATGTTACCACGTACAGCTGGTTCTATAGAGAGTATGTGTATTGTCGTGTTGGCAGGGACACTGGGAGAAGCAATGTTACCACGTACAGCTGGTTCTATAGAGAGTATGTGTATTGTCGTGTTGGCAGGGACACTGGGAGAAGCAATGTTACCACGTACAGCTGGTTCTATAGAGAGTATGTGTATTGTCGTGTTGGCAGGGACACTGGGAGAAGCAATGTTACCACGTACAGCTGGTTCTATAGAGAGTATGTGTATTGTCGTGTTGGCAGGGACACTGGGAGAAGCAATGTTCCCACGTACAGCTGGCTACATGTGAGAGTAAGTGTGTTATCGTGTTGGCAGAGAGACTGGAGAAGCCTATACCCCTACGTACAACTGGCTACATGTGAGAGTATGTGTGTTACCATTTTGGGACGGGGACCGGAAGAAACCTATGTTCCCACGTACATCTTGCTACGTGTGAGAGAACACGAACCCCTCGCCCACCTGGCCAGCAATAAGGAATCATGGCGCTGTGAACAAGTAATCTATGAGAGTCATGCAGCCCCTGATCAGGACCTGTTGCATCCTCCATCCATTGTTTACACATCTGTGAAAGAAATAACAGGCATGACCGAAAGGACCCGTGACTTTGATGTTGGACGAACCAATGAAAAACAAGCATGTGTGTGACCTATAGGAACCTCTCGGTTTTGATTAGTGAATGCATTGGCGGTTCCTTTCATTACCTGGCTGAGCTTGTCACAGTTATGATATCAGGTGATGAAATAAGGATATCTTCCACACCCAAGCACTTCATAAAACACCTAGAATTCATTATGTGACCATTTCAGCGCAGAGAGTGTTCTTGTTTAATAGCTGCCCATTAGTTGTAAGCAACCACTGAACTGTTGCATCAGCCACCATGATGCACTGCACGTGGTATTCTGATCTTTGGTGTTCTAAAACATCTTCTGAACCATGAAGTACTAAGTATACATAACGATATACTACGCACACGTAACGATATCCTCAAGATAGAATCCGGTGCGTGCTCCGTGTTTTCCATTTTATATTATTTGTTTTGTCGAGAATAACACAACGTTCTGTATTCCTTCTAACCGTGTGTATTTTGAAACGTTCTGTGTTACACAAACATGCTTGTTTTCGGTGAAGGAACAAACAAAGTGCATATTGATGTGTTTGTTGTGCTAGGGATGGGGTCAAGTGAAGTGGGGTCTTCGTGCTGCATATTGATGTGTTTGTTTTGCTGGGGATGGGGTAAAGTGAAGTGGAGAGGTTTGCATGCTGCATATTGTTGTCTTTGTTCTGTTAGGGATGGGGTAAAGTGGAATGGAGAAGTCTGCCTGATGCATATTGATGTGTTTGTTGTGCTAGGGATGGGGTAAAGTGAAGTGGAAAGGTCTGCCTGATGCATATTGATGTGTTTGTTGTGCTAGGGATGGGGTAAAGTGGAATGGAGAAGTCTGCCTGATGCATATTGATGTGTTTTTTGTGCTAGGGATGGGGTAAAGTGAAGTGGAAAGGTCTGCCTGCTGCATATTGTTGTGTTTGTTGTGCTAGGGATGGGGTAAAGTGAAGTGGAAAGGTCTGCCTGATGCATATTGATGTGTTTGTTGTGCTAGGGATGGGGTAAAGTGAAGTGGAAAGGTCTGCCTGATGCATATTGATGTGTTTGTTGTGCTAGGGATGGGGTAAAGTGAAGTGGAGAGGTTTGCATGCTGCATATTGTTGTGTTTGTTCTGTAATTAGGGATGGGGTAATGTGGAATGGAGAAGTCTGCCTGCTGCATATTGATGTGTTTGTTGTGCTAGGGATGGGGTAAAGTGAAGTGGAAAGGTCTGCCTGCTGCATATTGATGTGTTTGTTGTGCTAGGGATGGGGTAAAGTGAAGTGGAAAGGTCTGCCTGATGCATATTGATGTGTTTGTTGTGCTAGGGATGGGGTAAAGTGAAGTGGAAAGGTCTGCCTGCTGCATATTGATGTGTTTGTTGTGCTAGGGATGGGGTAAAGTGGAACGGAGAAGTCTGCCTGATGCATATTGATGTGTTTGTTGTGCTAGGGATGGGGTAAAGTGAAGTGGAAAGGTCTGCCTGCTGCATATTGATGTGTTTGTTGTGCTAGGGATGGGGTAAAGTGAAGTGGAAAGGTCTGCCTGCTGCATATTGATGTGTTTGTTGTGCTAGGGATGGGGTAAAGTGGAACGGAGAAGTCTGCCTGCTGCATATTGATGTGTTTGTTGTGCTAGGTATGGGGTAAAGTGAAGTGGAAAGGTCTGCCTGCTGCATATTGATGTGTTTGTTGTGCTAGGGATGGGGTAAAGTGGAACGGAGAAGTCTGCCTGCTGCATATTGATGTGTTTGTTGTGCTAGGGGTGGGGTAAAGTGAAGTGGAAAGGTCTGCCTGATGCATATTGATGTGTTTGTTGTGCTAGGGATGGGGTAAAGTGAAGTGGAGAGGTTTGCATGCTGCATATTGTTGTGTTTGTTCTGTAATTAGGGATGGGGTAATGTGGAATGGAGAAGTCTGCCTGCTGCATATTGAGGTGTTTGTTGTGCTAGGGATGGGGTCAAGTGAAGTGGAAAGGTCTGCCTGATGCATATTGATGTGTTTGTTGTGCTAGGGATGGGGTAAAGTGGAATGGAGAAGTCTGCCTGATGCATATTGATGTGTTTGTTGTGCTAGGGATGGGGTAAAGTGAAGTGGAAAGGTCTGCCTGATGCATATTGATGTGTTTGTTGTGCTAGGGATGGGGTAAAGTGAAGTGGAAAGGTCTGCCTGCTGCATATTGATGTGTTTGTTGTGCTAGGGATGGGGTAAAGTGGAACGGAGAAGTCTGCCTGATGCATATTGATGTGTTTGTTGTGCTAGGGATGGGGTAAAGTGAAGTGGAAAGGTCTGCCTGATGCATATTGATGTGTTTGTTGTGCTAGGGATGGGGTAAAGTGAAGTGGAAAGGTCTGCCTGCTGCATATTGATGTGTTTGTTGTGCTAGGGATGGGGTAAAGTGGAACGGAGAAGTCTGCCTGCTGCATATTGATGTGTTTGTTGTGCTAGGTATGGGGTAAAGTGAAGTGGAAAGGTCTGCCTGCTGCATATTGATGTGTTTGTTGTGCTAGGGATGGGGTAAAGTGGAACGGAGAAGTCTGCCTGCTGCATATTGATGTGTTTGTTGTGCTAGGGGTGGGGTAAAGTGAAGTGGAAAGGTCTGCCTGATGCATATTGATGTGTTTGTTGTGCTAGGGATGGGGTAAAGTGAAGTGGAGAGGTTTGCATGCTGCATATTGTTGTGTTTGTTCTGTAATTAGGGATGGGGTAATGTGGAATGGAGAAGTCTGCCTGCTGCATATTGAGGTGTTTGTTGTGCTAGGGATGGGGTCAAGTGAAGTGGAAAGGTCTGCCTGATGCATATTGATGTGTTTGTTGTGCTAGGGATGGGGTAAAGTGAAGTGGAAAGGTCTGCCTGATGCATATTGATGTGTTTGTTGTGCTAGGGATGGGGTAAAGTGAAGTGGAGAGGTTTGCATGCTGCATATTGTTGTGTTTGTTCTGTAATTAGGGATGGGGTAAAGTGGAATGGAGAAGTCTGCCTGCTGCATATTGATGTGTTTGTTGTGCTAGGGATGGGGTAAAGTGAAGTGGAAAGGTCTGCCTGCTGCATATTGATGTGTTTGTTGTGCTAGTGATGGGGTAAAGTGGAACGGAGAAGTCTGCCTGCTGCATATTGATGTGTTTGTTGTGCTAGGTATGGGGTCAAGTGAAGTGGAAAGGTCTGCCTGATGCATATTGATGTGTTTGTTGTGCTAGGGATGGGGTAAAGTGGAACGGAGAAGTCTGCCTGCTGCATATTGATGTGTTTGTTGTGCTAGGGATGGGGTAAAGTGAAGTGGAAAGGTCTGCCTGATGCATATTGATGTGTTTGTTGTGCTAGGGATGGGGTAAAGTGAAGTGGAAAGGTCTGCCTGATGCATATTGATGTGTTTGTTGTGCTAGGGATGGGGTAAAGTGAAGTGGAAAGGTCTGCATGCTGCATATTGATGTGTTTGTTGTGCTAGGGATGGGGTAAAGTGAAGTGGAAAGGTCTGCCTGATGCATATTGATGTGTTTGTTGTGCTAGGGATGGGGTAAAGTGGAATGGAGAAGTCTGCCTGCTGCATATTGATGTGTTTGTTGTGCTAGGGATGGGGTAAAGTGAAGTGGGGTCTGCGTGCTGCATATTGTTGTGTTTGTTCTGTTATGGATTGGGTATATATGAGTGGAGAAGTCTGCGTGCTGCATATTGATGTGTTTGTTGTGTTAGGGATTGGGTATATATGAGCGGAAAGGTCTGCGTGCTGCAAACTTATGTGTTTGTTTTGCATGGGATTGGGTAAAGTGGAGTGGAAAGTTCTGCGTGCTGCATATTGATGTGTTTGTTCTGTTAGGGATTGGGGGCGGTCAGGTAGCCTTGTGGTTAAAGCGTTCGCTCGTTACGCCGAAGACCCGGGTTCAATTCCCGACATTGGTACAATGTGTGAAGCCCTTTTCTGGTGTCCCCCGCCGTGATATTGCTGGAATATTGCTAAAAGCGGCGTAAAACCATACTCACTCACTCACTCACTCACTCTTTTAGGGATTGGGTATATATGAGTGGAAAGGTCTGCGTGCTGCATATTGTTGTGTTTGTTCTGTTAGGGATGGGTATATATGCGTGGAAAGGTCTGCGTGCTGCATATTGATGTGTTTGTTCTGTGGCTGTAATTTGCCAAGGACAAGTATTTGTTGTGTTCTGAAGGACAATGTGACTGTTTTTTCAGTGTGAATATGTCAGGAACGATCTGTGTCCTACATTAAGAGGTTATTGTTCTTTCATGGACGGGGCGAAGCAGAGCGAAGTGTTCTGTGTTTTTATATACTGATATATTTGCTCTGTCAGGGACGGGGCGAAGCGGAGAGAAGTGTTTTGTGTTTGATATACTGATATATTTCTTCTTTAAGGGACGGGGCGAAGCGGAGCGAAGTGTTCTGTGTTTAATATACTGATATATTTCTTCTTTAAGGGACGGGGCGAAGCGGAGCGAAGTGTTCTGTGTTTAATATACTGATATATTTCTTCTTTAAGGGACGGGGCGAAGAAGAGCGAAGTGTTCTGTTTTTAATATATCCTCGTGTCATGGAAGTTCGATCACTTACGAAAAGTCGCTGAATATTCATAGTAACATTCATATAATCTTTTTTTCAAATATCTTACCTGTGAACTTGTTTATTTATGACAAACATTTCCCAAATCCACGTATTTCCATTGAAATTTACACTCGCGGCATGGCCGCCCTCTCACTGTCAACAGAAGTGACCCAGAAAGCTACGTCACACAAGTTCGATCATTTGATTGGTTGGCTTGTCGCATAACCGGGATGACATCTATGGACGATCTCTTGTGTCAAAATTCGAATTAGAACAGTCCGCAGTTGTTTTATTACATCTTTGTCCATCAAACGTTCATTTTATGTTTCAATATTGAAAAAAAAACGATGAAAAGTCACAAATATCCAGATTATTTACAAGGTTGATGCAGGGAGTTATTCTTCAGGCTCATCGTGACAGGGGCACCAAAACTCAGAATGTCGACGCACAACACGAACTGGCGTGCAGAAACGTAAATGTGTCCAGTGCTGACATGTAGGGTGGGTACATTGTGCCCTGGTTGTTATGATCAGGGAGACATTAGCTCGAACCTCATCAGGTACAAATTTGCTACATTTGCAGCACAGTTCGTCATCACTTGTCACATCACTATCAAAACTATCGTCCTGATGCGCGTTGGACCGTGAAGTTCCAGTACTTGCATTCGTTGCAGTGACAGTATTTATTTTTTTTAAAGATTTACTTGGTTTAGGTGCTTGCTTTCTTTTTTTGGGTGCCGATTTCACAGTCTGGTGGGAAATAATTTTATTCAGAATGACGTCTTCGGTGATGGCCTTGCCCCCGACAACAGCGCTCAGAACGTTTTTCTTTTTAGTAGGCACAGCTTTCTTGAAAAGTACAGTCGTCTTGTCTTTAAAGAATCCTGCTACATCATTGCCCTCAGTAGGTGAAGTGACAACCTTGTCTCCAACTGGCACACATGAATCAATAACACCAGTATCAGGATGCAGCAAAGGTTCAGTCGACTTAAAAACTGTTGATGGCGCAAAGTTGATATTGGCGGTGGAAGACTTGTCAAATGGATAGACTCCACATTTCCTGAAAGAGGATTGCAGATTTGTTGGTGTCAGCGACAGGTTATAAGCTCTACAGCCAAGTTCACAAACAGAATGTTTATCAACTGAACTTGTGGCATCTTCCCGCATATACGTATGACGGAGGTTGTTGTAAATTTTAGCAAAAGGTCCAAAGCAACCAACATCCATTGGCTGTAAAACATGGGACGTGTGTGCAGGCAGTACAAACAAAATAATGTGATGTTGACGTGCCCATTCGATGAGTGGAATAGATACGTGGGATCTATGACCATCATACACAATAAGAAGTGATCTATCTGCAGACGCGGCGACAGCATGCTTCAGGAAATGCTCTGTCAGATAGTGCTGAAAAATCTCCGTGTTTGACCAGCCAGAGTCGCTTACAGTGCCTGCTGCTCCAGGGGTACTTCCTGAAAGGAGTTCTTCCCGCATCCTCTTGCCCTTGAAAACAAAATACGGTGGTATAGAACTACCAGATGCATTGCCGCAACCTATAACCGATGTAGTACTTGATCTTGATGTTGTGACTGCAGCTGGAGTACTCTGACTCGATGTAACAACTGATGGTGGGGTATGATGCTCCATAAGTCCCTTTTCGTCAACATTATAAATGCGATGAGGGCATGTCTTCAGGTTGTACTTATCCATGATGTGCCCAAGCTCATTAAAATAATGAGTGATCGTCTCCTCCGAGGTAGCTTTTGCTCTCTGTATCTCAAGGGATCGTGGCTTCTTCACTGACAGATCAGGCCATCGCTTCATAAACCCATAGAACCACTGAAGTGATAGGGGTTGTTCATCCTTTGACTTCTTTCCAACATATATTGCTAGGTCTGTGGCAATAGTAGTAACTTCAGCCCTTGTATAGCCATACCCAAAATTTGCCATGGCTTCAATATGTGAAACAAGTCCCTGTTCTTCTTCCATGGACAATAGTGGCTCTCTACCAGTGGTACTACATTCAATAGAAACCTTCCCACTCATCCTGTCATGCAGTGTAGCAAATGGAACAGCAAAGGTAGTGGCAGCTTTCCTAATTGCCATTCCATCTAAAACAGCATTATATGCCTTGTCTAGGGCTGCAGACAAATATTGCCTATATTGACCTCTTCTGGTTGGTTCACCATTGGTCAAAACCTGTAAAAATAAAGGTTTATTTTATATATCACCAAAACTCCAGAGACAGAAGTTCTCAAAAAGCATAACATTTTCAATAAGAAATGACCCTAATTTGTTTCCATAGTTTTAAATTTTGGCGAGCACATCACGTGTCTCATCACGTGACATTTACACCATGAACGTAAACAAGCAGACGACAGGTGTGCCGTCGATTTACAACCTGTGCATTTATTACAATTGACATTTTATTTGAGCTGATCAAGTTACATTAGTGATCTCGGGTTAAAAAGTAGTTGTTTGCTGAATATGAGCTATTACTTACGTTTGGTAACTTGACACGAAGCATTTTCCGGTCCAAGCGAACGAAAGCGGTGTTGTCAGAAGATCAAAGCTGCAGGTACCGTAATTTCTCGTTACATTTCGCGAGAAATATCATTCAAAATGGCCGATCGAAGTTACATGTCGATCGAACTTGTGTGACTTGACGATACTGATATATTTCTTCTTTAAGAGACGGGGCGAAGCGGAGCGAAGTGTTCCGTGTTTAATATACTGATATATTTCTTCTTTAAGGGACGGGGCGAAGAAGAGCGGAGTGTTCTGTGTTTAATATACTGATATATTTCTTCTTTAAGAGACGGGGCGAAGCGGAGCGAAGAAGAGCGAAGTGTTCTGTGTTTAATATACTGATATATTTCTTCTTTAAGGGACGGGGCGAAACGGAGCGAAGTGTTCTGTGTTTAATATTCTGATAAATTTCTTCTTTAAGGGACGGGGCGAAGCGGAGCGAAGTGTTCTGTGTTTAATATACTGATAAATTTCTTCTTTAAGGGACGGGGCGAAGCGGAGCGAAGTGTTCTGTGTTTAATATACTGATAAATTTCTTCTTTAAGGGACGGGGCGAAGCGGAGCGAAGTGTTCTGTGTTTAATATACTGATAAATTTCTTCTTTAAGGGACGGGGCGAAGCGGAGCGAAGTGTTCTGTGTTTAATATACTGATAAATTTCTTCTTTAAGGGACGGGGCGAAGCGGAGCGAAGTGTTCTGTGTTTAATATACTGATATATTTCTTCTTTAAGGGACGGGGCGAAGAAGAGCGGAGTGTTCTGTGTTTAATATACTGATATATTTCTTCCTTTAAGGGACGGGGCGAAGCGGAGCGAAGTGTTCTGTGTTTAATATACTGATATATTTCTTCTTTAAGGGACGGGGCGAAGAAGAGCGGAGTGTTCTGTGTTTAATATTCTGATATATTTCTTCCTTTAAGGGACGGGGCGAAGCGGAGCGAAGTGTTCTGTGTTTAATATACTGATATATTTCTTCTTTAAGGGACGGGGCGAAGAAGAGCGGAGTGTTCTGTGTTTAATATACTGATATATTTCTTCTTTAAGGGACGGGGCGTAGCAGAGCGGAGTGTTCTGTGTTTAATATTCTGATATATTTCTTCTTATGGGACGGGGCGAAGCGGAGCGAAGTGTTCTGTGTTGAATATACTGATATATTTCTTCTTTAAGGGACGGGGTAAAACAGAGCGAAGTGTTCTGTGTTTAATATACTGATATATTTCTTCTTTAAGGGACGGGGCGAAGCGGAGCGGAGTGTTCTGTGTGCTGGTTGAGTTGCTGGAAGAGCTGGAGAGCTGTAACACCATCAACGTGCCTCTCGCTGTGGGCGGGCATCGGAGCATCAGGCAACAGGTGGTGTCGCATCTGGTGAGTGGTCAATGGAAGCATCGAAGCGTTTATCTGAATTTTTGGAATGCATTTTAAGCTTTAAGATAACAAAGTTGATCGTATTTGTGTTAAGATACCAAAGTTGATCGTATTTGTGTAACAGAAACAGTAAGGTTGATAATGTTTTTGTTAATAAGGCAGTGACGTTGACCATGTTTGTGTTACAGGGACAGTGACGTTGACCATGTTTGTGTTACGAAGGGAGTGACGTTGGTCATGTTTTTGTAACAGAGACTGTGACGTTTTTGTTACAGGGGCAGTGACGTTGATCATATTTGTGTTACAAAGGGAGGGACGTTAACCATGTTTGTGTTACAGATGAAGTGGCGTTGACCATGTTTGTGTTACAAAAGCAGTGACGTTGACCATGTTTGTGTTACAAAGGCAGTGACGTTGACCATGTTTGTGTTACAAAGGCAGTGACGTTGACCATGTTTGTGTTACAGAGGAAGTGGCGTTGACAATGTTTGTGTGACGTGGAGAGTGGCTTTGACCATGTTTGTGTTACAGAGGAAGTGGCGTTGACAATGTTTGTGTGACGTGGAGAGTGGCTTTGACCATGTTTGTGTTACAGAGGAAGTGGCGTTGACAATGTTTGTGTGACGTGGAGAGTGGCTTTGACCATGTTTGTGTTACAGGGACTGTGACCATGATCATGTTTGTGTTACAAAGGCAGTGACGTGGACCATGTTTGTGTTACAAAGGCAGTGACGTTGACCATGTTTGTGTTACAGAGGCAGTATGAAGCTGTGTATGAACTTCTCCGACATCACATGAAGATGTACCCTGACATACCGGATTTTGAAGGCCGAGGCAGGAGACGCCACAGCGAGGGACCTATATACATGAACCAGTAGTCGGGCGATGTAACCGCGTGAACCAGTAGGCAGGTGATGTGACCGAGTGAACAAGTAGACAGGCGATGTGACACTGCGACACCGAGTGACACCGAGTGACGCCGATTGACGCCGAGTGACACCGAGTGACACCGACTGACGCCGACTGACGCCGAGTGACGCCGGGTGACACAAAGTGACACCAACGCTGAGAATAACAACATCCTGCTGCAAATAGATGCTGGTTAAGCTCAGATATTTCCTATACATTCAAGCTAGGTATTATGTGTATTGTTTGCACTGTATACGCAGGTTGACTTGCTGTCTAAAATGTACAATGATATATTTGAGCCAACATACAATGTCAGAGTGATATACAGTTGCAGTAGGTTATATTCATCGCTATACACTAACGTGATTTGAATACATATTCTATGTATCATTTAGGTGGAGAATCGTATATGTACAGTAATGTACTTATCGAACTACAGCGCTAAAAAACATTCACTCATTCAGTGAAAGAAAGTGAAAGTGTGTAGTGATTCCTTGGCAAGGACATTATTGATGAACTTGTTTAGTTATTTTGTGTCAGTGAACATGTACAGTTATTCTGGGTCATTGAATAATTCAGAGATCCTGTGTCAGTGCATATGTACCTATGTCCTGTGTCATTGAATGTGTATAGAGATCCTGTGTCAGTAAATATATACAGAGATCCTGTGCCATTGAATGTGTACAGTTATCCTGTGTCAGTGAATATGTACAGTTATCCTGTGTCAGTGACTATGTACAGAGATCCAATGCCATTAAATGTGTACAGAGATCCTGTGTCAGTGAATATGTAAAGTTATCCTGTGTCAGTGAATGTGTACAGAGATCACGTGTCAGTGAATGTTTAGAGACATCTTGTGTCAGTGAATATGTACAGAGATCCTGTGTCAGTGAATATGTACAGAGATCCTATGTGAGTAAATATGTACAGAGATCCTGTGTCAGTGAATATGTACAGAGATCCTATGTGAGTAAATATGTACAGAGATCCTGTGTCAGTGAATATGTACAGAGATCCTATGTGAGTAAATATGTACAGAGATCCTGTGTCAGTGAATATGTACAGAGATCCTATGTGAGTAAATATGTACAGAGATCCTGTGTCAGTGAATATGTACAGAGATCCTATGTGAGTAAATATGTACAGAGATCCTGTGTCAGTGAATATGTACAGAGATCCTATGTGAGTAAATATGTACAGAGATCCTGTGTCAGTGAATATGTACAGAGGTCCTGTGCCAATGAATATGTACAGTTATCCTGTGTCAGTGAATATGTACAGTTATCCTGTATCGGTGAATGGGTACAGAGACCCTGTGTCAGTGAATATATACAGAGATCCTATGTCTGTGAATATGTACAGTTACCCTGTGTCAGTGAATATGCACACAGATCCTGTGTCTGTGAATATGTACAGTTATCCTGTGTCAGTGAATATGTAAAGAGACCCTGTGTCAGTAAATATGTACAGAGATCCTATGCCATTGCATATGTACAGTTATCCTGTGTCAGTGAATATGTACAGAGACCCTGTGTCAGTGAATATGTACAAGTATCCTGTGTCAGTGAATATGTACAGAGACCCTGTGTCAGTGAATATGTACTGATATCCTGTGTCAGTGAATATGTACAGTTATCCTGTGTCAGCGAATATGTACACAGATCCCGTGTCAGTGAATATGTACAGAGATCAAATGCCATTGAATATGTACAGTTATCCTGTGTCAGTGAATATGTACAGTTATCCTGTGTCAGTGAATATGTGCAGATATCCTGTGTCAGTGAATATGTACAGTTATCCTGTGTCAGTGAATATGTACAGATACCCTGTGTCAGTGAATATGTACAGTTATCCTGTGTCGGTGAATATGTACAGTTATCCTGTGTCCGTGAATATGTGCAGTTATCCTGTGTCAGTGAATATGTACAGTTATCCTGTGTCAGTGAATATGTACAGATACCCTGTGTCAGTGAATATGTACAGTTATCCTGTGTCAGTGAATATGTACAGATACCCTGTGTCAGTGAATATGTGCAGAGATCCTATGTCAGTGGATATGTACAAGTATCCTGTGTCAGTGAATGTTAATAGCAATCATCTGGTGGAAGAAACTTAGAACTCACCTGACAGATGGCGTGGGATCCAGGTAACCGTGGTGAAGACAGTTCAACATTACTCTTAATTTTTTTATTTCTCGAAACCCTGAACATTTTTAAACCTCTACAGCAGTAATATATATTCCAATTTTATGCACAGTTGTGCAAGCTGTGTCTTGAGTCTTGTTATGACGCCCACTTTACATATGTGCAATTACGTATGTGGGCAGGGGAACAGTCAAGTCATCGTGAACGTGTGATATATCACGCTCGGCAAGCAGTGTACGATCAGGTTTCACGGGCAATTCTTTGATAAACCATATATCATTATGATAATAACATCATATCGGTGTTAGATCTGGCATCCACGGAGGCAGTATTACACACACAAAAACCTCCCAGGTCCATCAAAATGGGACTTTAAGCACTTCGAATAATCCGCCTAGTTTGATGAGCGGACGTTACACACAACAGAAGCAGATACGTGCATACATGGACGGGAAGGGAAAATAGAATTTAAGCAACACCGAGATACCTTCATATCAGTCAGATTTAGCAAACAGTCCAGTGATAACCTATCAGTCAGCGTCTGTAACCTATCCCGTGTCGAACCATCTCGTAGTTGATATCAGTTCGACCTTCTGTACCACGTAACAACTACCACTGTGTCTGTTCAAAGTGCAGAAATAAAGGGTGTATTCAGACGACGGACTACATGCATAGGCAGTATTACATCGGGGATTTAAGGGATAAAAGTGAGGCGGTACAACGCATGTATCAAGGAAAGGTAATGTGTTAGTTGGTACAGGAGGTATCGGGGTAACATGTCTATATCAAAGGAAGGTAATGTGTTAGTTGATACAAGAGGTATCGGGGTAACATGGCTGTATCAAAGGAAGGTAATGTGTTAGTTGATACAAGAGGTATCGGGGTAACATGGCTGTATCAAAGGAAGGTAATGTGTTAGTTGATACAGGAGTTACCGGGGTAACATGTCTATATTAAAGGAAGGTAATGTGTTAGTTGATTTCTCCAAAAAGTGTGACAAAAATAATTATGCCTCAGACTGCTAAAAAGCAAATAGCCTGCCACAAAAAAATACATTGTTGCAAGGTGTTATTCTTTTTACAAAACTTCGTTGAAAAACAACGTTTCTGCAAAATGAATTTATACAGAAAGGAAGAACACTTCATACCCTTTTTTGTAATATATTGTAAAATTGCGTAAGATGCCGTGTCCACGAAATATGACAACCCTTCTTTTCTCCTTTGGTATTTGTAACAAGATACTTTACAAATAGATTATAATTAGAAGGTTGTCTCCAAATGTAATTGCAAATATATGCTAATAAGTTAAATCATCAGTGAATAATACTACATATGAACAGCATGTAACTTGTGCAAATCAATTACGTGTGGAGCACAAAATGTCCCATTTTCTCTAAAAATTCTACACGCTTTTTGTGCAAATTTCACGAATAGATGAATGCATATCTAAGCTTGGCCAAACCAGCTATTGTCAGACTTTCTGTACACTGTTATTTGGGGATGCCTTCGCCACACGTAGTTTTAGAATAGTGCCAAGTTGGAATTGGCCGTATTTTGTCAGACCTGTTACCATATTTCATTCTTGTCATAGACTAGAGTAGCTTACCTTTCATAAAGGACAATTACTCCGGCGGGCGGGCCGTTGGATTGCCACGAAAGGTGATCACTGACAACGTTCAAACATGACCAGAAGGCATTTGTCTTGTGTGGTAGTAACGACTCTACATTGAAGAAATGTTTTAGTTGGAATACTATTGATTGTTGTCACTGTCCGACTGACTAATCGCTGATATTGTGACGTATTATATTAATGCGCATATTCCCGGAAAACATAGAATTATAGAAGGACATTATCTGGATGCTAAATTTATGAGGGGTTTATAATTGATAATTGATAATTGAGGGGTTGTCACGCCATGCGGTGGTAAATATCCTACGAGAGGTGTCTGAAAAGTTCTGATCCTAATTACGAAACGATATTACACCCTTAACTGTTGCATGTTTTAAGAATCGTCCTTCCCACGCGTAGAGGCTACATATGAACCGAATACACAACTAGACAGTATAATTATGTACGTATCAAAGTCAATTGGTATCATCATTTGACACAATGGACAAAATTGGCTTCAGACAACAAAAAGGGCTAAGTCGAGCAGCTACCTATACTTGCATGAAGCTATGGGGGATGGTGCTCCTTCCTTCGCCACTGGCAAGAGGTGGGCAGCTGAGTTCAAGAGGGGACCATGTTGTCAATACAGCAGGCATCTCTCTTGAGAGAGTTGAGAACCTTCTGGGGAATGTATTTGGAAGGACAAAGGGTTAAGCGAGCTCGCTTCCAAAGCGTCTGTCTCCTGATCAGAAACGCTCCCGGTTCTTCATGTCTCGTGTTAATGTGATTTTTGAAGCAGACCAAGATGATGTTGTTAAATGATTTATAATCATGGAAGGGTCTGGGGTTCACCACTGCCAGCCAGAGATTTAACGTCAAAGCAGTGAAACATCTAACGTTCCCTCCTCCGAAGGAGGCAAAGTCTGCTCAATCAGATGGCAATGTGATGGCTTCGGGTTTCCGAGTTCCAAAAGAAATCCTACGGGTGGACTACCACTCAAAAGGCCAATGGACAATATTACGGGAACCTGTTTTGGCAACCTGTGAGAATATCAAAGCTAAGCGTCGTGGAAAACTTACTAAAGGTGAATTGATCAGCACAATGTACCTGTGCACAGGTCTGTTGTCATCGACATTGCTGCAATACATGACTGTGGCTTTGTAATTATTGAATATCTTTCGTTTTGACCAGTTTTGACGCCTTTTGATTTCCACTTCTTCCCACATTTGAAGGAAAACCTGTCTGTTAAGCATCATGAAAATGATGATGACACCATATACCGCCTACACCAGTGGGTTTATGTACTCCTGCATCCTAAGTAAAAGTGTCGTGGATGATGTTGTATACCGCCTACACCAGTGGGTTCATGTACTCCAGCATCCTAAGTAGAAGTGTCGTGGAGAACGTTGTATAGCGCCTACACGAGTGGGTTCATGTACTCCAGCATCCTAAGTAGAAGTGTCGTGGAGAACGTTGTATAGCGCCTACGCCAGTGGGTTCATGTACTCCAGCATCCTTGGTAGAAATGTCGTGGACCTCGGATGAGATTATGCTGAAAAATAATTTATCAAATATAAAACGTCAGCGCAACAGAATAAGCAATCTTGACTATCCCCCGAAATAAAGGGCAAAAGAGTGATGCAAATGATGGGAATGGGCCATTGAAAATCATCTCCATTCGCGCCCTCATACATAGGATTATATGTTTTCAGCTACATTTCGTATATTAGGATAGATATTCAACAGCATCATCATGCATGCGCATTGTATTCCAGATTGACAATCAGGCGTTTCTTTTATAGTTACTCCGCCTGAAAGAAATAACATTATTTATCGTATGATATTTACTAAAATATGTTACAATGAACGTGTTCGTGAAGTCAGAGTGGAAATAACATACATAAATGTGCAATTGATCTCCAATAGCAAAACAAACTCTTCAAGCTTGCATGACACACAACATCTTTTATTATATATGATAATTCCATATCTACCCGTCTCGGCAGGAAGCTTGATTG